CTGGAGGGTTCAAGGCAGTTAAGCACCTGACTTTTGATTTCAGGTCAGGTCATGTTCTGAGGGTCCTAAGATCCAGCCCTGCCTTGGGCCCTGCACTCAGTGGGGAGTCTGCTTCTCTTCCTTTCCCTCTGCCCCTCGTGTGCATATGCTCGCTCTCTCTAAAGTAGATTAATACATCTTAATAAAAAATGTTTTAAAAAGGCATTGGAGTGACATATCATGTAACCCTATTAATGTTTTGTTGTTTCTGGTATATGAGAGGATATCTGGTTTCATACACCAGTGTCCAGAAAATGTATATATAATCAACCATTGGTTTGACTGCTCAGTATAAGACATACAATAATAATAGAAATGATGTTCTACAGGACTTCCAAAATCATATCTGGGCTAGGAGTTAAACAGATTTAAATTTTGGCCTGAATTAGTGAGACTAATGGAATTTACTTCTGTCTGTCTCAGAGGTTTTCCATTGATTATACTATAATTACATTTTCTTAGCCCAGTTATGATTACCACCTTTCTTTCTGCCCTTTTCTACTTTCCATTCAACATGTAGTTATTGAAGTCTGCCACTGGGAATATAGCAATGAACAAAACGAAAACCTGTGTCCTCACAAAATTGGCAGTCTAGTTAGGGAGGACTATTAAAAAAATAAAATATAGTAGATGGTAAACAAGTGATATGAAAAAAAAAGGAGGGAGGGATAGCGATTGTTTGGGAGTGGAAGGGAGTTGAGCTGTAGTCTGAAGGTTGCCAGGAAGGGCCTTCCTGAGAAGGTGACGTTTTGGTAAATACTTGAAGGAAATGAAGGAGTGATTCCTGCAGATAGATATCTGGTGGCAGAATATTCCAGGTAGAGGTAACAGTAAGCGCAAAGACTCCTGAGGTGGCAGCATGCCCCAATATTAAAGGGGCGTTGCCACGACAAGGAAGACGTGGCAGGTTTACAGTGAGCCAGAGGAATAGTAGATTAGCCTGAGAGATGATGTCAGATACAAATTTTGTATTGCCTGGGAGACCCCTGTAAGGACTTTGGCTTTTCTCCAAGTGGGGACCCCTTAGGTTTTGAGCAAAGGAATGATGTTTATGTTTAATGTTTAATGGGATCTTCTGGTAGCTCTCTAAGGAATAGAATAAAGTGAGGGGTAGAAGCAAGACACCAGTTGGGAGGCTGTTGCAATAGAGTTATTTTCCTTTTCTTCATCCATCCACTCATGTCTCTACATTTGCTTTTCTGGCAAAAGATGGAACTAATTTTTTAGGAATGTTCTAGGGTACATACTTTATAGTAAATGAGTCAGTATAGTAAATTAGTAGTGAATGTCTTCTTTACTAAATAAGTATATGTGAAAAATTAATCAAAAGGGCATTGTCTTTAAATTATATTTCTTATTTTATTTTTTAGATTTTATTGAGAGAGACAGCGCAAAGGGAGGGCAGTGCAGAGGGACGAGCAGACTCCCTGCTCGGCAGCTCATTGTGGAGCCGGTCACTGACACTCAATCCCCACACTCTGGGATCATGACCTGAGCTAAAGTCAGATGCTTAACCGACTAGGCGCCCCTACATTATCTTTCTAATAATATATATTTATGTTGTTTAATCCGTTTTCCCTGCCAAGTCTTTCTCTTGGCCTTGACACAGTGTTTAAAGAATTAAACCAGTGAATGTCATCTAATGAGAATTTCCTCACACCGACCTCACTAATTTCAGACAGTTAATTAAATGTTGATGAATCACAAGTTGTTTGCTTTCATTTTCCCTTAATAAAAGCTCTCTAATATTATTAATTTTAAAGAAACAAGGAAATACGCCTGAAAAATCCTGTGTACATTTTATGTAATTAACATTAAATTTACAATATAATACTTTATCAAATCTGTGTACCACCAAGAAAAAAAATATTTCCAGTTAAACTGAAATTTGTTGTCAGTTGCAAGGCATTCCTGTTTCAAGTGTTAAAATGCATAAAATATGCATCTAGAAATGATAAAATATAGCAGATTAGCTTTCAGTGGAAATTTTGTATTTATGTGGGGGATGATTTCATTTTATTGGCTGGCTTTTCCATTATACATCTTAGTTATTAGAAAACAGGACTTTAAAAAAAAAATCCTAATGTGTGTGAAGCAAATCTTATTGCCAAACAAAATAATTCCTTTATGTGTCCTTTTCTCTGTAACCTCAGGAAATGGAAAAAAAAATTGAGGTATGGGGGCGCCTGGGTGGCTCAGTGGGTAAAGCTGCTGCCTTCAGCTCGGGTCATGATCTCAGGGTCGTGGGATGGAGTCCCGCATTGGGCTTTCCGCTCAGCAGGGAGCCTGCTTCCCTTCCTCTCTCTCTGCCTGCCTCTCTGCCTACTTGTGATCTCTGTCAAATAAATAAAATCTTAAAAAAAAAAAAATTGAGGTATGAAGTGTATACCATACTGACTGTAGAAAAATGCAATATCAGGATGAACACTTTAGCTAATATTTTGAATTTACTATGAAATATAAATTAAAGGAGTCACAGTCTCACCACCAGCATTTTGCTATGACCGCCTTTATGATTCAGGCACTTTTCCTGAGATCAATTCTAGAACATAGTTGCTAAAAGAATGAAAAAGACAAATGATAGATTGGATTAATGGCCATTAAGGCAATATGTGAATGGCTACCAGCTTTAATAACGCATACAAAAGATAATTTACAGAAGAGGTGGAAAGCAAAGAAGTAGAAACGTCAAAGGAGGGAACTCCTAGAGATAATTGTGGTTATGATGACAGGGATGTTTGTGGTCACTTGCGCCCTCTCTCTCTCTCTCTCTGACAAATCTTTAAAAAAAAAAAAGGTGAAATGTCAGTGACTAGGTGAGATTCCCAAAATAAGTCCTGGGTTTAACTACGGTATTTGAAGTAAGCTAGGTAGTTAATTAGACTTCAAATAATTTCGTATCTTTGCTGCTAAGACTTCATTTTCATCTTATAGTGTATTTGATTTTTTTTAATAAGATTCCAAATTAGCCAAACATTTTAAAATGTATATTTGTTTAAAGGGAAGAAAATTTGATGAAATTTAAGAATTATAAATAGAATTAATGATAAGCATTGTAAAGTAGAGGGGCATCTGGCTGCTTCAGTGGGTGGAGCATGTGACTTTTAATCTCCGGGTTGTGGGTTTCAGCCCCACATTGGGTATAGAGTTTATTTATTTATTTATTTTCTTAAAGAATTGTAAGTAGAGAAGTCTTCTCATAGACAAGTAAATAAAAGCACTAAATTTAGAACATATTCAATTCTTTGAACGTAGTAAAGCTTGTAGAGTAAAATGTGAATTTAATTCATATCACAGGCGGTAGTTGAGTATGTTACCATTTTTCTTAGTGCTTTACATATGTAATATCTTTAATTGTATTTAATAGTTTCACAGTTTATTCCGTATTAAGCAGTAGAATTATTAGCCAATATTCTTTTCGTTATTTTTTGTGTTCTAAAAGGTAGATACTTGGTGCCTGGGTGGCTCAGTCAATTAAGTGTCTGCCTTTGGCTCAGGTCATGGTCCTGGAGTCTTGGGATCCAGCCCTGCATCAGGCTCCCTGCTCAGCGGGAGTCTTTTTCTCCCTCTCCCCTTTACCCCGCTTTCATGCTCTCTCTCTCTCTGTCTCACAAATAGATAAATAAAATCTTTAAACAAAAAAAAAAAAAAAAAAAAAAAAAAGGGGCACCTGGGTGGCTCAGTCAGTTAAGTGGCTGCCTTCCACTTGGGTCGTGATCCCTGACTCCTGGAATCAACCCCCACTTTGGGCTCCCAGCTCAGTGGAAAGCATGCTTCTCCTTCTCCCACTTTCCTGCTTGTATTTCCTCTCTCACTGTGTGTCTCTCTGTCAAATAAATAAAATATTTTAAAAGAAAAAAGGTAGATACTTTCCTTACTTTTAGAGCACTTGAACTTTAAGGGACCATCTTCTTGGAAGATAGTTAATTTTATGTTTTTGGTTTTGTTTTTTGTTTTTTGTTTTTTTTTTTCAAACAGAAGGTCTCACATATTTATTATTGAACCAACCAACTGGTGCAGAAGCATAGTAACAGAAGAATCCTTTCCCTGATAAAACATGTCTATTGCTCAAGTAGTAGTGATGTTACAGAGTGGTAGGATATGAGTTTGTGACCGTGCAGCATAGATATGTGTGCCATCCCATGTGCTGTTGCTTATAGACCGGCTTAGTTCTTCTCCAGTGCCTCCTCTTGAAGTTGTACCTAATTTTGTTACCAGTTTTCATCTGAATCTACTGGGGAATGGGACAGTTCTGCTTTTGTTTCTTTGCCAGAAATTGCTTGATGGGCCTTGTGAGAAGATCCAAATCAGAGTATTAATGTGCAGAGATGGGATTCAAACCCAGGCTATCCAAGCTCCTAGGTTAGGGTGACTTCCAGACTTCCCTGCGGTAGTCCATGGTGAGGAATCGTCAACCACACATACCATGATGGCATAGAGTAAGTTAGAGAAAAAATAGTTTACTTTTTGAGTGAAATTAAAATGAATCATGGTTAGCACATCGACTCATACAAAGTATAGTTGAATGGTATAAAACGAAAATTGATTAAGATAATAACATACCCAGGGCACCTGGGTGGCTCAGTCGTTAAGGGTGTGCCTTTGGCTCAGCTCATGATCCCAGGGTCCTGGGATGGACCCCTGCACTGGGCTCCCTGCTCAGCTGGAAGCCTGCTTCTCCCTCTCCCACTACCCCCCCCCCCTTGTGTTCCCTCTTTTGCTGTGTCTCTCTCTGTCAAATACTAAATAAAATCTTTAAAAAAAAAAAAAAAAGGTAGTAACATATCCAAAGCACCTGCCTCCCAAAATATATATGAGGTTTAAATGAACTTGATAACCTTTTAGATTTAAGATTCTTTTGTTATTTTTGTTCTGTTTTTGCATTATCTTAATGTCTGAGAAAATAATGAAATTCTGTATAAGCCCACAGAACTTTTCATTAAAGTATTATCCTTTTCTAGCTTAAAGCAATAAATGTAGATCTTCAGAGTGATGCTGCTCTGCAAGTGGACATTTCTGATGCTCTTAGTGAAAGAGATAAAGTAAAATTCACTGTTCACACAAAGGTGAGTGTGATTTTGAACATGTATTATTTCAGCTATTTATTGTGCAAATGTTACATATGTAATAATATATTGACTGGAACCTTGGTTTTAAACATAATTAGAAACCATATTTTAGTTTATAATTCACTGCTTTTAACAGTTTTAGTGAATGTACTTGTTTTAAGGTGCTTTTTAAAGATTAACATTTAAGAATCACAGAACCTAGATGTAATGCACATTTAATTTTCTCTAGACTTATTAATATGTTTCACTACTCTTGTTTTCAGTGTTGTTTTTTCAGTTAATTATATTACCATCTTACCAAGCACCTGGGTGGCTCAGTTGGTTAAGCCTCCTACTCTTGATTTTAGTTCAGGTCATGATCGCAGGCTTGTCCCTCTCCCTGCAGCCACCCTCCTCTCTCTCTCTCTCTCTCTCTCTCTCTCTCTCTCAAATAAATAAATAAAATATTTAAAATTAAGTAAATAAATTACTGCCTTACAAATTATTTTCTTCTTGGATTTTAGTTCTCAGGCACATTTTCAGACCGTAGATTTATTTTCCTTTGAGTAGTTGAGCTTGATATATATTAATAACCTTTAAGTAATGGTGGCAGTACAATATAATAAGAGGCTGTCAACTTACTTTTTCAAAGTTGCCACAATAATTTCTTCTGGGTGTCTCAGAGTTTTCATTATAGATTGTAAAAGTACTGATAATCATTCATGTAAGACTAATTTAAGAAAATAAGATTAAAAGTGTTTATTAAAAGCCTTTTAGTATAATTTTGATTTTTCTTCAAGAAAATCTCTATCTTTGCAGAGTTCATTGCCAAATTTTAAACAAAATGAGTTTTCTGTAGTTCGACAACATGAGGAATTTATCTGGCTTCATGATTCCTTCATTGAAAATGAAGACTATGCGGGTTACATTGTAAGTGTTGGGGTTCCATTTTAATCCCATTTTCTAGGCGCTTTTTAGATACCTTGTTATGTGTTAAATCTTGTTTAGCATTTTAGTGAACTGGTGTGATTTTTAAAAATTGTCAGTTGCAAAACACAATGGACTACCACCTTTTATCCTGAATTGTCTAGTGGATATCTTATGCTCCTTCATTTAAACTCAAATTCTTACTGTTTATTGGAATTGAAACAGGCTTTTCCTAGAGATTAATGAGGGGGATATTATAAACCATACTGGTTTTGAACCCTTAGGTAGACAGATATTTAGGGTTGGAGGGTCCCTGAAGAGGTTATTTAGGTATCCATCAGGGCCTGACCACACTCAGATTCCTGAAACTTAGTTTCATTTAATCTCCTTGAAATCATCCTGATCTGATTCTGTTTCCATCCTTGTGGCCACTCCTTCTCAGTCATTTGCTCGCTCTTTGTATAACTCAGAATTTGGGGACAACTGGCAGTGCATTCCTTTTTTTTTTTTTTTTTTTTTCTTTTACAAAAACTACCAGTTTATATAAAGGATCAACTCGGGACAGCCAAAAGAAAGAGATGCATAGGACAAGATACAGGGAGAGGGGGTTGGTGCAAAACTCTCATGTTCTACAGGTGTACCACCTTCCACCTTCCCAGCATGTCAGTGTCTTTACCAACCTGGAAGCTCCTTCTTTTCGCATCTTATTTCCACCTTTCCGTCCTCATCTTGTCTGATGGCATTTTCTTTCTACCATGTCCTTCTACAGACTAAACACTCCTCAAAGAGCAAGACCATGTTTTCTTTAGGGCGCTTGGGTGGTTGAGTTGGTTGAGCGCCTGCCTTCAGCTCAGGTCATGACCGCAGGATCCTGGGATCAAGTCCTGCATCAGGCTCCCTGCTCATCGGGGAGTCTGCTTCTCCCTCTGCCTGCAGCTTCCCCTGCTTGTGCTTGCTCACTCTTTCTACTCTCTCTGACAAATAAATAAAATCTTAAAAAAAGAAAAAAGAAAAGATCATGTCTTACTTATCTTTATATGCACATTGTTCGGCATCATTCCTGGCACACAGTAGATGGGGTGTATGTGTGCTCAGCTGCTCTTGATACTTCTTTCCCTGTTGCTTTCCTCAAGCATAACCCTTTTCCTGTATTCATTCTGTAGCTTTCCCCTACTTATCTGTTCTTCCTCATACCTTCTTGCTTTCTTTACTTCCATCATTTCCCCTAAACTCTTCTTACTTGTAGGCCCTTCCTCTCAAGGTACACTTTCTCTTTATTATTCCTTTGAATGATACGGCTCTTCTAGATCTTATATTTTTGTTTAAGGTAAGTGTTTACTTACCCACTGTGAGTAAATAGAATGATGTTAGTCATTAATCCCTGTCTTGTTCTCCTGGTTTTAAGTCCGTACTTTCTGTTTCTGATCCACTCCTCCAGTTCAGGAACCCTTTTTAACATTCCTTGCTGGATCCTACTGTTGGGATTCATGAATTTTAGAAACAGAATAGCATAAAGCTACTGTGAATTCCTTAATTTAAAAAATATTTGTATTTAATTGAACCATTTACATAATTCTGAAAAATGGTATGCATCTTCTTTTAGTATATAGTCAGAGCTTAATGTGCATATAATTTGAGGATTCTAAGTTGCCACATAGAAATCTGCAGATTAAAGTGTGGGAACGAGTGTTCTAATAGTAGAAAATAGTGCTCTGCTGTTGGCAGAAAGTACCTAATCAAATTCTCTACCCTGAATTGATATATTTCTGGTGTTGTGTTCATTCAGGATGTCTTTAGCTCTCTCGGATTCAGTCTTTTATGGTGGCAGCAGTACAGCTGCTGTGAAAAAGAAAATAGTCTTTAAATGAGTGACTTGGTTCTCTTACAGATCCCACCAGCACCACCAAGACCTGATTTTGACGCTTCAAGGGAAAAACTTCAGAAGCTGGGAGAAGGAGAAGGGTCCATGACAAAGGAAGAGTTCACAAAGATGAAACAGGAACTGGAAGCGTATGTGATTTTTCTTACTGCTTTGTTAATTGTGCTTATTTTAATGCCTTTTTCTGTGCTCTCTGATATCCCATCCTTTTAATCATTTCACCACAGTGACCCTTTCTGAAAGATGCAGGTTTAAGCCAAACAACCAGTTTTAATGATCATGATCAGAGCCTACAGGAAAATTATGGAATAATTGTCTGCATTGTTAAATTCTTTAAATTAATGTTTTAAATAGACTCTGAAAATTGAAAACAGAGGATCCAAAACCTTATTAAAAAATAATAGAAAGGGAAATACGACTTTTTAAAAACAGAGCGTAACTTGTTTTGTTTTTTATTTACAAGGTCTTAGTCATTGCCAAACTGGTTTTCTTTTTTCGATATGTGCATACTACCCAAACTTCTGTTTCTCATAGAAATATGCACTGTGCAACTCTGCATATGTTCTGTTTTCTTTTTTTTTAAATATGTGTGTGTGCGTGTGTGTATGTATAATTTTTGCCCTCTTTTTCTCTACCTCTGGCTTCTGAGGAGGAAGAAGAATAGGAGCAAAGTAACAAAAGAATAGTTTTAAAATGTTTTTCATTGAATGATTATTAGTTTCACATATACTGGAAATGTATTAAATCCTTGAAAAACTTTGAGATAGTTTCTATTTTGTTCTTAGCATACTTGCTAAAAATACCAAATCTTTCCTCTTTTATTAGACATTTGAAATAATTTTAGATTTGCAGTGTACTGTTTTTCTGTATTTTGGGAGCTATACAAGGAAATATTTTCCTTGCATCATCATCACTTTCATCACTCTTTCTAGTCATTTCTCCTCTTCGTGCATTTCCTTTTCTCCTCTTCCACTTAGTTTCAGCTTTTAAGCATATATCCCCGTGGCCACTAGCCTCCTTTTCAGAATGCTAAACTCATTTGACAGGATAAATTAGCAAAGTAGATCTTTTTTGTCAAAGTGTAGGGTGCCAGGTATTTTAAGACTTTTGTCTATGCTGGGTGCAAGCAATAGTCTGAGAGCAGACAGAGATCTATACTTTTATAGTTTTAAGACTGAAAACTGGAAATTAGCAGAGCACATTAATATTAAAGAATCTGTGGTTTTCCAGTGGCCCTGATCATGATTCTTTTGTGGTCTGGTTAGGGGTTGGATAACAGAGAACCTTGGGTTTATCCTACTGCTACCTCCATCCTCTGCATCCTTCTTTTTTGTCTTCACTGAATGACTACCCTCACAGAGATCAAACTTCTCCCAACATTGGTCCTGCTGGTTTGCTGGTATGTAAAATTTATCCTCCTTGCACGTAGTTGAAGCAACAATATTGGGCATTTTCCTTGAGTGTTTCTTTTTTTCAAACTGACATGTATTACTATATGATCGCTGTGATTCACTGATATTAAAATATTTTAAATATAGTTTTTCAATGTATTGACAAAAATTAGTCTCTGTGGTATGCTTTTTTCCTTGTGTGTTTGGGTCATTAGATGAAAATAATTATTAATGTCAAAAATGTGTACTGAGGTTTGGGTTTTATTTTTTGTATACAAGTGTTTAAATGCAGTAATTATCTAGAAATTGAGTCAAAAAGATTGTATCAAATTATTTGTAGTACACTTTCTCTGGAGCTGAAAACAAATCCCTCTGTAGTTACCTTTAACATCAACTTGCATAGGAAGAAAGGTTCATAAAACCTAAAAATATTAACATTTAAATAAAATAAATACTATTAACTAGCATGAAGCCTTTTCAGAGCTGGGTTTTACATATTTTATTAACAGTTCAACTAAAATCTTTGTTTATGTGGATTTTATCTTTATATCTTTAATTTTGCATTCAGTATAATTCAGAGTATTTGTTGAAAAACTTGTTGCAGACGATTTTCTAGTTGATTCAGTGATTTACCTTTAATTTTGTGTATTGTTTCTAGTGAATATTTGGCAATATTCAAGAAGACTGTTGCAATGCATGAGGTGTTCCTATGTCGTGTGGCAGCACATCCTATTTTGAGAAAAGATTTAAATTTTCATGTCTTCTTGGAATATAATCAAGATGTAAGTATTGATTAAAGTAGTGATCAAGGTTTATTTTTAGAGTTACTGGAAAAGGCAAGAAATAGATGACCTCTTTTTGTAACGTTATTATATTTCAAAGCAGTTTAAAATGATACTTTGTAGTGATAATACAGTATTTCAATAGAACTTGAGTAGATTAATTGAAGAAATGAGGGTAAATCATGTTACTACATGGGATATTGATTTTTCATCCTGAATTGTGAACTTCTTAAGAAACAGGGTTATCAATTTGATTGTTTATTAAATTTGAGTTTGGAGTCCTCTGAAGCCCTGTGGGGAATCCCAGCCAGGTGTTAGAGCTAAAGAATTCCAGGTTACTTTAGGATTAATCATTGACTTTTGATCCTTTTAACTGATCTTCTTCAGTGTGATTGCTCCTAATCGTTCCTTCCTCTCTGCGTGAAAACTGTTATAGTGCAAATAGAAAAATTGATGCAATTGAGCTTTAAAGATTTCTTCATTTGTAGTACTGGCAAAAGAATTTTAAAGGGTGGGTGATATGGTTATTGGGATTTATACTTGGATGACAAGATTAACTCATAATTTTAGTAAAAAACAAGTGTAGCATAGTGCTAGTTTGCTTAGAAGTCAACATCAAGATCAAAGAGTTTTGTATATATAAATTTGTCTTTCTGGTTTGGTTTTAGTTGACATGACCATGACAATAAAATGTCCTAAGTCTAGCAGTAGAGAGAACACATTTTTTTTTTAAAGATTTTATTTATTTATTTGACAGAGATCACAAGTAGGCAGAGAGGCAGGCAGAGAGTAGGGGGAAGCAGGCTCCCTGCTGAGCAGAGAGCCCGATGCGGGGCTCGATCCCAGGACCCTGAGATCATGACCTGAGCCGAAGGCAGAGGCCCAACCCACTGAGCCACCCAGGCACCCCAACACATTTTTTAAAAGGGTATGAAGTACCTCAAGATCACAGAAACAGGAGCACCTGGGTGGCTCAGTGTTAAGTGGCTGCCTTTGGTTCAGGTCCTGATCTCAGGATCTTGGGATCAAGCTCTGCATCAGGATTCCTGTTATCAGGAAGCCTGCTTTTCCCTCTCCCACTACCCTTGCTTGTGTTCCTTCTCTTGCTGTCTCTCTTTCTCTGTCAAATATATAAATAAAAAATCTTTAAAAAAAGGAAAAAAGATGACAGAAGCATAGCACTTAAGCATGGGTACTTTCACAAGCATAAATGTGGTGATACTGGTATGTGGTCATTTGTAACTAGGAATTATAAATAATGCTGGCTATATCATGAATTATAAGTGAAAACAGTGGGGCGCCTGGGTGGCTCAGTGGGTTAAGCCTCTACCTTCGGCTCAGGTCATGATCTCAGGGTCCTGGGATCGAGCCCCGCATCAGGCTCTCTGCTCAGCAGGGAGCCTGCTTCTCCTTCTCTCTCTCTCTGCCTGCCTCTCTGCCTACTTGTGATCTCTGTCTATCAAATAAATAAATAAAATCTTTAAAAAAAAAAATAAGTGAAAACAGTTTGTGAGTAGGGTTGCTAAAAGTGATATAGATGCTATCATCAATCTTTTACTGTTATGTGTCTGTTTTTCCTCAACCTTATTTGTGGCCTGGGCCAAAACCTTAATAATAATTGGTAGAGCAGCATAGGTATACTGGCGTGGTATTGTCAGCTCAAGGCCGCTCGTGCTAGAGGAGCCTCATGCTCCACACACACTGTCCCATCGCCAAATCCCTTAGCGCTATCTGAAATTCTGTATCTTTTTTTTTCTTTTTTAAGATTTATTTATTTGAGAGAGAGCGAGAGAGAGAGAGCAGATGCACGAGTAGGGAGTGGAGAGGGGCAAAGGGAGAGTGAGAGAATCTGAAGCAGATCTTGTCATGGGGTTTGATCCCAGGACCCTGAAATGACAACCTGAGCCAAAATCAAGATCTGGACACTGAACTGACTGAGCTACCCTCATGCCCATATATATATCTGTATTTTTTTTTAAGATTTTTATTTATTTATTTGACAGAGAAATCACAAGTAGGCAGAGTGGCAGGCAGAGAGAGAGGGAAGCAGGCTCCCTGCTGAGAGAGAGCAGAGAGCCTGATGCGGGGCTCGATCCCAGGACCCTGGGATGATGACCTGAGCTGAAGGCAGAGGCTTTAACCCACTGAGCCACCCAGGCGCCCCATATCTGTATTTTTTAAATTTTTGTACTTATTATTTGTCTCCTGCTACTAAAATATAGGCTCTCTGGAAGTAAGGCTTTTATTTTTCACCACTGCATCCTGAGCACTTTAGAGCAGTGGCTGACAATTAAGTTATAATAAAATAAGTATTTGTTAAAATGATAAGTGAGTGAGGTGCGCCTGGGTGGCTCAGTCGGTTAAGCATCTGCCTTCTGCTCCTGTTACGATTCCAGCGTCCTAGGATCAAGTCGAGGCGTAAAGCTTCCTGCTTAGTGGAGAGCCTGCTTCTCCCTCTCCCTCTGCCACTCCCCCTGTTTGTGCTCTCTAGCTCTCTCTCAAATGATAAATCTTTTTTTAAAAAAAGATAAGTGAATGAGGGGCGCCTGAGTTGCTCAGTGGGTTAAGCCTCTGCCTTTGGTTCAGGTCATGATCTCAGGGTCCTGGGATGGAGCTCCACGTCGGGCTCTCTGCTCAGCGGAGAGCCTGCTTCCCTCTCTCTCTCTGCCTGCCTCTCTGCCTACTTGTGATCTCTGTCTGTCAAATGAATAAACTCTTTAAAAAAAGAAAAAGGTAAGTGAATGATTATTAATTGTTTAGATCAGCTTTATAAATAGCCTTCAGAGGGGTGCCTGGGTGGCTCAGTAGGTTAAAACCTCTGCCTTCGGCTCGGGTTATGATCCCAGAGTCTTGGGATCAAGCCCCGAATTGGGCTCTCTGCTCAGCAGGGAGCCTGCTTCCTCCTCTCTCTCTGCCTGCCCCTCTGCCTACTTGTGATCTCTATCTGTCAAATAAATAAATAAAATCTTTTTTAAAAAATAAATAAATAAATAGCCTTCAGAAATCTTAGGGTTTCATAAGTTTTCTCCCATCAATGTAGATTTTTTTTCCTCCCAAACTAATACATGCTTAATAGAAATAATGATGTGATATGTTGTAATAACCCTTTTAATATCAGCATATGGTGTTTTGGAGAAACTCTAAAAAGACAAGACAGTGTTTTGCAAATATTCTGTAATAACAGCAGGACACCTGGGTGATGCTCTTGATTTCGGCTCAGGTCATGATCTCAGGGACGTGAGATTAAGCCCTGCATAGGCTCTGTGCCCGGCATGGAATCTCTCTCCTTCTGCCTCCTCCCCAATCCACTCATGTTCTCTCACTCTCTTTCATATAAATAAATAAATCTTTCTAAACTATATAATTAGGGGCACTTGGGCAACTCAGTCGTTGGGTGTCTACCTTCCACTCAGGTCATGATTACAGGGTTCTGGGATCAAGCCCCGCATCTCCCTCTGCTTGACCTCCTCCTCTTTATGTTCCCTTTCTCACTGTGTCTCTCTGTCAAATGAATAAATAAAATTTTAAAAAATAATAAAATATATAATTAATTAATAGCAGTACATTAACAGGTTATAGAAGATCATAGGCCCAAAACTAATAAGTTTTTCTCAGTCTTGTTCTGATGCTGTTTCTCTGATCTTTACTCACTTCACTGGGGCAGGAAAAGCAATCTGTTTGTGCTATTTTGTTACCTCAGTTTTAGAGGGTCATGGGACCAATGAGCTGTTGAAGTGGAACTAGGGTGCTTAAAGTCTAAAAAGGCCATGAGGCATCTGGGAGGGCTAGAAAAGCTTGTTCTAGCTTTTAGTTGTGTGAGAAGTAGTCACTGTTGTAATGACTGCCTTTAGTGTTGCTTTACTTAGATAGCTATATACCTTTCCTCTTTCTACTAGGTATAATCTGAGTCTGCTTAACAGTAGATTAAATATTTAACCTAATTAACACCTTAAGCCCATTCAATTCTTGCTACCTTATCAGTGGCTGCACCCAGGACCCTGCCTCCTGTCTGAGTTCTTAAACTCTAGTATTAACAGATTCCGAGCATAAACAACTCTGTTTTTACCCATTCTTATTTTGGCTGTTCGTTGACTCACTGGTACATCTAAACCCTTGACTTATCCAGCATTTTGACCCTGTTAGCAGCCCTTTTGTCTTTATATCTTTCTCATCTACCCTGGATTGCCTACTCCATTTATAACAAGGTTATGACTTTAGATAGCTCTCTCACATTTTCCATTAAAGCTCATTTTAACTTGCAGCAGTTCTTCTTGATGAGATAAATGACCTTGTTCACTAGGAGGTGAAAGCTAGTCAGAAATCAAATCCTACAACTCCATGTGTCTCCCACAACCTCAACCACGATGGCAGCCACACTCATGTATGAGCTTTTCTTTTCTTTTTTTTTTTTTTTTTTTTAATCCTTTCCAATTTGGACACCCTTTTAATTTCTTTTGCTTGCCTAACTGCCCTGGCTAGGACCTCCGGTACTGTGTAGAACAGAAATGACAAGAGCAGACATCTTCATTTTGTCTCTGATCTTAGGGGGAAAGCATTCATTGTTTCACTGTTAAGTATGATGTTAGCTGTGGGGCTTTCATTGATGCTCTTTATCAAGTTGAAGTTCCCTTTTGTTCCTAGTTTGTTGAGTGTTTTTGTTATGGGAAAGTATAGCTATTGAGATGATGTGGTTTTTGTCCTTTATTCTGTTAATATGATGTCTCACATTGTGCCTTTCCATTTTGATGAAGATACCTTTCTAGCTCTCCTGGATCCCATCTACTTCTGCATCTTTCGGATCTCTTCTAAGTTTTCTTCTTAACTCTGTGACTCCTTCCTAGTCTCCTTCATGAGTTTTTCCCTCCATTTATCTATTCATTTAAATCTCATCCTTCCTAGATTCCTCACTGACTCCTCCAGAAGTTTAGAATTTCCTCTAGGGGTACCTGGGTGTCTCAGCAGTTAAGTTTCCCAACTTTTTTTTTTTTTTTAAGATTTTCTTTATTTATTTGAGAGAGAGAGCACGCGCACACACATGAGCAGGGGTAGGGACAGTGGGAGAGGAAGAAGCAGACTTCCCACTGAGCAGGGAGCCCAATGGTGGGCTCAGTTCTGGGACTCCAGGATCATGACGTGTTCTGAAGGCAGGCACCTAACCAACTAAGCCACCCAGGTGCACCAAGTGTCTAACTCTTCATTTTGGCTCAGGTCGTGATTTCAAGTTCATGAGATGGAGCCCCACATCAGGTTCTGCACCCAGCACGGAGTCTGCTTCTCTCCCTAACCACCCCCCAACTCGCTCTCTTTCTAAAATAAATGAATAAATCCTTAAAAAAAAAAATAAAAGAGTTCCTCTAGCTTTCTAATTCTATAAATTCTCCCTAAGTGATCTCATTGACTCCTGTGGCTGCAGGCACTCTAATATGCTATTAACTTGTAAATCTGTATTAATTCTGAACCCCAGCCCTCTTTATTAAACAGTCTCATGAAAACCTCTATTTAGATGTCCTTTTGGCATTTTACCCTCCGCTGAACTCTTCTTTAAACCCATGCTTCCAGGGCGCCAGGGTGGCTCAGTTGTTAAGCATCTGCCTTCAGCTCAGTTCACAATCTCAGAGTCCTGGGATGGAGCCTCACATAAATCTCCCTCTCCCACTCCCCTGCTTGTGTTCCCTCTCTCATTACGTCTCTCTCTCTGTCAAATAAATTAATAAAATCTTAAAAAAAAAAATAAATCCGTGCTTCCTTTTGTGTTCTCTGTCTCAAAGAAGGTACCACCACCTTCCGATTCCTTAAAACCTAAAAATTACTAAGGCACCTGGGTGTCTCAGTTGAGCAATAGCCTCTTGATTTCGGCATGGGTCATGATCTCAGGGTTGTGGGGTCAGGCCTCATATCGGGCTCTGTGTTCAGCATAGAATCTGCTTGTTCTCTCCCTCTGCTCCTCCACCTGTGCGTGCACTGCACACTAGCTCTCTGTTTCTGTCTCTCAAATAAATAAATCTTATAAATAAATGATTTTTTTTTAGGACTTTATTTATTTATTTGACTGAGACCGAGCACACAACCAGGGGGAGCAGGAGAGGGAGAAGCAGGGAGCCCGATGCAGTACTTGATCAGAGGACCCTGGGATCATGACCTAAGTTGAAGGCATATGGTTAAGGCTAAGCAACGCAGGTGCCCCTAAATAAATAAAATCTTAAAACAGAAACAAAAAACTAAAACCTAAAAATTACTCGTTACTCTTCCTACTCTCTGTTCCTATTAGGGAAACACCATATCCTGTCTGTTTTACTCCCTTACAGTATTAGGAATGTGTCCTCTTCTTTCCTATCACCAGACCTAAAGGTTGGTTCTGACTTTTCTAATTATTGACTGGATTATTTTAGATTTTTAATTTATATTTTTGTCAGAGAGAGCAGGAGCGCAGAGAAATTCGGGCAGAACAGGCAGAGCGAGAAGCAGGTTCCCTGCTGAGCAAGGAGCCCGATGTGGGACTCCATCCCAGGACTCTGGGATCATGACCTGAGCTGAAGGCAGATGCTCAACCAGCTGAGCCACTCAGGCGTCTCTGACTGGATTATTTTAAAGGTTTTTTTTGTTTTGAGAGAGTGAGCGAGCATGCACATAGGCACAGCGGGGGAGAGGGGGAAGGAAAAGGAAAATCTTTTTTAATTTTTTATTTAAAATTCAATTTAATTAACACATACTATATTACTAGTTTCAGAGGTAGAAGCCAGTGATTTATCAGTTGCATGCAACACCCAGTCCTTATTACTTCACATGCCCTCCTTTATGCCCGTTACCCAGTTTCCCCACCCCCCACCTGTCTCCACTCCAGCAATCCTCAGTTTGTTCCCTGTAGTTAAGAGTTGAGAGAGAGGATCTTAAGCGGGTTCTACATTCAATGCAGAGTCAGACACCAGACTCCAATCCATCTTAAGACCCTGACATTATGACCTGAGCCGAAATCTAGACTCCGATGGTCTTAACTGACTAAGGTACCCAGGTGCCCCAGTCCTTGCGTGGATTCTTGAAACGGTCCCTGACTGTTCATTCAGCTTCCAGTCTTACCTTTCTCCTCTCCTAAGTCTGTATTGAGTTCCCTTGGTGTTCTCCTAGTGCCCTGTGGATTTGCTAACATTGTACTACTCACCCCATGGTAAATCATGTGTTTCTCTTTATTCTCCTCTGAACCATAAATTACTCTTAAGAGTCAGCACCACCTAGAGGCATCTGGGTAGCTCAGTTAATTGAGGGCCTTTTTTTTTTTCTTTTAAATTTGAGAGAAAGCATGAGAGGGGGGAGGGTCAGAGGGAGAAGCAGACTCCCTGCTGAGCAGGAAGCCCAATGTGGGACTCAATCCCGATCCCGGGACAGGCGCCCCGAGGGCCTGACTCTTAATTTTGGCTCAGGTCATGGTCTCAAGTTGCTGGGATCCAGCCCTGCATTGGATCCATCCTCAGTAGGGAGCCTACTTGGGATTTTCTCTCTCTCATTCTCCTTCTGCACCTCTTCCAGCTCACGCTCTCTCTTAAGAGCTCGCTCTCAAGTAAATAAATCTTTAAAAAAAAAAATAGTAGGGACCACCTCATAATCATCTTTATATCCTGAACACCTAGCGCAGTGCCTGATTTTATGTACATTTGTCAGTGGTTTATTAAATGAGTGAATTAATGAATTAATCTTAAAAATGCAGTTTAAGAAAACACCCAGCATGTGTTGAGAAGCCTAAAGATAAAGCAGTTTGGAAAGTTTTCATGAAGAGATATATTTTAATGTGGATGTTTAATGATACCTGAATAGAATTTTTGGTAGGAGGAGAGAGAGCATTTCAGGTACAGAGGAGCCTAAAAGTTCAGAGCTTCTTTTGAGAACTGTTTGGAACATAAGGTTCTGTGGGGGTAGGGTGATAGATGGAAAAATAAGTTGAACCAGATTGTTGAAAGTCTTGAATAGGCTTTCAATCTCTAAACATTGTGAAACTCTGTAAAAATTTGAGTAGGGAAGACATGCTCAAAATTTGATTTTGGAAGTCATCAACAGAATGAATTGAATTGAGGAAAAGAGATGTTAACAAGTAGTACAGTATAATAGGCCAGAAATAATAAGGTTTTTCATTAGGACAGTGGGAAAGAAAGGGACAGATTTCAGGCATTTGATGATAGAATTTGAGTTGTGAGAGACAAAAAGAAGTAGATTTTCAAGATTTTTAATGAGAGGTATGGTGTTTAAGGGAATATGTTGAAGAGACTGGCTGGATGGAGGGACCATAGATAGGGATCCAAGAAGAAAAATTTGGAGATTAGATTATAATGAATACTGTCTTAATCTAATGCGGGTTTAGCAGAATCTCCATATAAGGATATGACATAGGCAGTTGGAAATAGGGTCTGAGGTTTAGGAAAGAGCTTAGGGGTAGTAATCATGATTGTGAATCATTTACATAATGTGAACATTGGAGCCATGGCAGTAGATAGGAAAATTAGATGGGATGTTCCATTGTGGCACATCCTGATGTAGCAAGTGGTAAAGTCAAAGAGTTAGCTGCTTCTCAGTTTGTTTGGTTTTTTTTAAACAATTTTATTTATTTATTTGACAGAGAGAGAAAGATCACAAGCAGGCAGAGAGAGAAGAGAAGTAGGCTCCCCGCCGAGCAGAGAGCCTGATGTAGGCCTCGATCCCAGGACCCTGAGACCATGACCTGAGCTGAAGGCAGAGGCTTAACCCACTGAGCCACCCAGGCGCCCTGCTTCTCAGTTTTGCCTTTAGATAACCATTCTTGCCATTTGGGTGTCAACCTTTTGTGTCCCTTATAAGTTGCTAATCTCCAGAGCAGGACAAGACATGATATTTGGATGAGTTCAGAGTGAAGAATTTGCAGAATATGGGGTGCCTGGGTAGCTCAGTAGGTTAAGTATCTACCTTTCAGCTCAGTCATGATCCCAGAGTCGCAGAATTGAGCCCCACATCAGGCTCCCTGCTCGGTGGGGAGTCTACTTCTTCATCTGCCCCTCACCCTGCTCGTTCTCTCATTCTCTCGCAAATAAAATAAATAAAATCTTACCAAAAAAAAAGAATTTGCAGAATGTGTTTTCAAAGCTTTCACAGAGTCATGTGATGGTGTATGACTCCATAAATTTTACATTTTTTTTTAAGATTTTATTTATTTGACAGAGATCACAAGTAGGCAGAGAAGCAGGCGGGGGAGTGGGGGAGCAGACCCCCTGCTGAGCAGAGAGCCTGATGCGGGGCTCAATCCCAGGACCCTGAGATCATGACCTGAGCCAAAGGCATATGCTTAACCCACTGAGCCACCCAGGCGCCCCTAAATTTTATATCTTTAAAGGAACACCTGGATTAAATTTGTAGTTGTCTTTATATATTACTATATATATGATGATAAGGCTACTTGCAATGGGATTATCAGATGTACTTACAAAATTTGAGATAATCTAGGCATTATTGTAGACCACCTGAATCTGAATCTTTGAGAGTGAAGCCAGCCTCCTCTTTAGTACCCTAAAGTTTGAAAGTCACTGATACACATGATGAAATTGCCAATTTACTAAAGTTTAAAAACCAGGATCCTTTTGTGGTTGCCATTTTGATGTCAGAGAATAAAAGAGGTGTTACTTTAAAAAAAGAAAGTATGGGCGCCTGGGTGGCTCAGCGGGTTAAAGCCTCTGCCTTCGGCTCAGGTCATGATCCCAGGGTCCTGGGATCGAGTCCCGCATCGGGCTCTCTGCTCAGCAGGGAGCCTGCTTCCTTCTCTCTCTCTGCCTTCCTCTCTGCCTACTTGTGATCTCTGTCTGTCAAATAAATAAATAAAATCTTTAAAAAAAAATAAATAAAAATAAAAAAAGAAAGTATGACTTTCCATTTGTAATCTAAAAAAATTGTCAACTTAAGTTTACCTTTCTTTCAGCTGAGTGTGAGAGGAAAAAATAAAAAAGAGAAACTTGAAGATTTCTTTAAAAACATGGTAAAATCAGCAGATGGAGTAATTGTTTCGGGAGTAAAGGTAAGATTTTATTTGATTAATAGAGGTAATGGTTTGAGAATCTACTTCTTTTAAGAAGATAGATTGAGATTTCAGATGTGCAGATGACACTGTTGGAGTAAAAGAGAAGTTTGGGCCCCCTGCCCTCGATTCTACTCTTTGGAGAACTTCCTTTTCCCAGGGGTGAGAGATCTGTAGGTCCCAAGGGGATTTACCCACCTGGAGTGCATGCCCCTTACCTCCAAACTAGACCAGGCTTTAGGGATCTGGAGCCCCATATTTCCTTGCCTAAATCTGAAGCCTATTTCCAACTTTTCCTCTTCTGTGGGCCTCTTCTCTGAGTTCATCCTCCAGTGTATGCACTCATGGGTGGTCAGGGGTGACCATGGAACAGCTGGGGAGAGGGCGGGCACGGGGGAGAAGATCAGTGTGCAGGAGAGAATATCCATTTACATACGTATGTGAGGTTTCTCTGGGTGCCTTACAGAACTGCAGGATAGGGCATGAAGAGGGACTGCCTCCATTTGTACATTTGCCCTTGGCCTACAAAATCTTAGGAGCAGACTTGGGTTCAGATGTGGAGTTAGAAGAGCTCCTTTGAGGTTTTAGTCTTGTGGGCGGGGCTGGGGGGGTGCCTGGCTTATTTGGTAGAGCATATGACTCTTGATCTCAGGGTCATGAATTCAAGCCCCATGTTGCGCGTGGAGCTTACAAATAAACAGGCATAATCAAAATTAAAATAAATAATACCCAAGTATTTCTTAATGATGTTCTAAAAATGGTACAAGAATTAATTTATCTAAGACTCTTACCATTAAAAGAAAAAAGTTTATATTACATTATCAAGCAGATACAAAGAAAGATAAATGCTGTTTGTCATCATTGCCTATTTTTATAAATACATCTGAAGTAAAACTTAAGTGGGAATTACTGTTTATTTGATTTATACTTCAGTTTTTCAGAGACAGGTCAGCTGGTCTGTTGACAGTGCTTGTGCCATGGCTACTTTCTAATAAGGACTCCACTTCTTTCATTTTGATGCTACTTATGCATTAATATTGAACATTTTTCTTAGCATTAAGTATAAACCACTATGTGGATTATGATTTTGGTGAAGAAGTAACTAACATTTTTTGAACATTTACAGTGTGTTCGTTGATCCATATTTTGTTTACTCTTCAACCCTACAAGTTGGGTAGTTTTATCCCCATTTTAACAGTTAAGAAAATTTATACACATGAATTACAAATTTTAAAGAAACTTTGTTAGTACCGACTTTTCTTTCCCAAGTTCTGTTAATGTGGATTTGAATTACATCATTTTAGCTGGTGCTTTTTCAAAAAAGCGACTGCTGTTTTAGAAAGGAGGAAAGGATTTTGAATAGTTTTATTTTTAATGTGTATCTGGCTTTGTTTCAAAAAAGATAAAATAATTGCTTCCAGAAGGCTAGTGTGGCCATATTTCCCCAAAGCAGTCAGAGAGGGCTGTAATGACAAAGGCTTGGCAGCCTTCAGGAATGGCTCATAGAATACATAGTAGACCAAGAGAAATAGATTGAGACTTGCCTCTCGTAATTTTTTTCTTTTCAAAAGCAATATATTACTTCCCCTGGCAGTAATGTATCTCTTGGAGAGGCAGGACTGTAGACACAGAATATGAGTAGGAAGGAACACGTTTCAGAGTTCAACATGTGAACATGAACCATTGTGGAAGTATCTAAGCTTTCATCTGCAAAACCATTCCAGATTTCTTCCTGGATAGATAGAAGTGCATGTCTGTATAAAGTCTGAACTTGTTGGTAAAATCATTAGAACATCTTATTAGAGGATAGCTGTGCTGTTTTACTGATATTTTATTATTATAATGGTAAAGTGATTTATGTATTACACTAAAGCAAATAAGTGAAAAATTATATTTTCTTTTGGCCCTATAGGATGTAGATGATTTCTTTGAGCATGAACGAACATTCCTTTTAGAATATCATAACCGAGTTAAGGATGCATCTGCTAAATCTGATAGGATGACAAGATCCCACAAAAGTAAGGTTTTTCTCTGTGGCTAAAGCTTACATTTTTTTTTAATGGAATAATTATAAAGTTATTATGTTACTTAGAGTTTATAAAAGTCTTGATGTAGAACAGTGTTTCTCAAACTGTGGTCTGTGAAGTCTGGACCCTAAGGCTCTTTTTATTTTTAGCAAGTCTGTAAGGTCAAAAAACTATTTTCTTAATAGTCCATGGTGCTTTTTGTATTTTTCACCATGTTAACATTTACACTGATAAAGCAGAAGCCATGGTGGATAAAATTACTGGTGCCTTAGCACAGATTGAGGAGGTGGCATGAAATTGTGCTAAGAGTCACTATATTCTTTCCTGCAGTGCATTTACAATTAGAAAAGAAAAATTCAGTTAAGAATATCTTTGATAGGGTGCCTGGGTGGCTCAGTGGGTTAAGCCTCTGCCTTCAGCTCGGGTCATGATCTCAGGGTCTGGATCGAGATGCATCGGGCTCTCTGCTCAGCAGGGAGCTGCTTTCCGCCCCACCCCCCCACCCCGCCTGCCTCTCTGCCTACTTGTGATCTCTGTCAAATAAAATCTTTAAAAAAAAAAAAAAAAAGAATATATTTGATAAAGCAGTTAAAATTACTAATTGTAATAAGCACTTCCCTAGAGTTCATGTTTTTAATATTCTCAATGGTGAAATGGAAAGTATACATAAAGCACTATGATTCCTTACTGAAGTGTAACAGTCTCTTTAGAAAAGCCCTTTAGTTGCAACTGAATTAGCTGCTTCCACCCCTACCCTCCTACCCCCCCGCCAAAAAAACACCATTTCTAGAGGGTGCCTGGGTGGCTCAATTGGTAAAGTAGCTGCCTTCAGCTGAGGTCAGGATTCCAGGGTCCTCGGATCGACCCCACATCAGGCTCTGTGCTCAGCAGAGAGCCTGCTTCACTCTCTCCCTCTTGCCTGCAGCTCTGCTTACTTGTGCTCTGTATCTCTCTGTCAGTAAATAAATAAAATCTTAAAAAACAAAACAAAAACACCATTTCTACTTGAGAGAACAGCTGACAAACTATAATTATTCAGATTTGAATATTTGATAGACCTTTTCTTAAAAATTAAATGAGTCTGTTACTTTAAGGAAAACAACTGACAGTATTTGTTGACAGTGTTAAAGGTCAAGCTCTCCAGCAATAATTAGAATTTTGGAAAACTTGTATCCATCCTTATGAACTTACTTCACAATAATTGAAGACTTCTCTGAGGAGATTGATAATCATATGTGAATGTGGTATTTTTGATGTTGTTTGTATATATAATGAAGTTTGTCAACATTTTGGAAGATTTGTGTAATAACTCATTGAGCCGATATTTTCTACAGTCCTCCATTCTACCAACTGAGCTATCGGAGGCTCCGCTGAGATGATATTTTCTAAATGATCAAATATATGATGTTACAAAGTCATGTACGTAAAAGATTCATTCAAAGTTCAAGATAGACTGTTTTAACAGCTTTCTTGGGGTATAAGTTGGTATCAGTAAGTTTCATTGTTCAAAGTATACAGTTTGGTAAGTTTTGACATATGTGTAAAATCATCACTACAGGGGTATCTGGGTGGCTCAGCGGGTTGAGCCCTGCCTGCAGCTTGAGTCATAATCTCGGGGTCCTGGGATTGAGCTCTGCATCAGGCTCTTTGCTCAGTGGGGAGCCTGCTTCCCCCCTCTCTCTCTGCCTGCATCTCTGCCTACTTGTGCTCTCTCTGTCAAATAAATAAATAAAATCTTAAAAAAAAAAAATTGGGTACCTGGGTGGCTCAGTGGGTTAAAGCTTCTGCCTTCTGCTCGGGTCATGATCCCGGAGTCCTGGGATGGAGCCCCCGCATCAGGCGCTCTGCTCAGCAGGGAGTTTGCTTCCCCCTCTCTCTCTGCCTGTCTCTCCGCCTACTTGTGATCTTTGTCTGTCAAATAAATAAATAAAGTCTTTTTTAAAAATTTTTTCTAAATCATCACTATAATTAAGATAATAAACATATCCATCACCACCAAAAATTTCCTTACAGCCCTTTGTATTCCCTCCCTTTTCCTCTGTCCACAGGCAACCATTGATCTGCTTTCTGTCTCTGTAGATTAGTTTGCATTTTCTAGAATTTTATATGAATGGAATTATACCATATGTACTTTTTATTATTTGGCTTTAAAATTCAGCAAAGTTATTTTGAGATTCATTGAGTTGTGTGTTTCAAGAGGTCATTCCTTTTTATTGCTGAGTGTTATACTGTTATATGGATATACCACAGTCGTTTATCCATTCAGCTGTTGGTGGACATTTGGGTCATTGCTAGCTTTAGGCTGTTATAAATAAAGCTGACATGAACCATCTATACGCAAGTCTTTGAATGGACATGTGCTTTCATTTCTCTTGGGTAATACCTAAAAGTAGAGTGGCTGGATCATGTGGTAAGTGTATAATTAACTTCTTAAGAAAATGCCAAACTTTCTCCCCAAAATGAAATGATTATACCATTTTACGTTCCTACCAGCTGTACGTGAGAGTTCTAATTGCTCCACATCTTTTCCAACAAGGATACTCAATCTTTTTCCTTTTAGCTGTTCTCATAGTCCTCTCCGTGTGATTTTAATTTGCATTTCACTAATGATTGATAATGTTGAACATCTTTTCTTATGTAAGTCCTCCAGCTTTATTCTTCTTTACCAAAGTTGTTTTGGCTCCTCTAGGTTCTTTATATTTTCATATGGATTTTAGAATCAGCTTGTCACTTTCTACAAAAATGGTGTCTGGATTTTTATTGGGATTATGTAGAATCTGTAGGTCAATTTGGGGAAGATTGACAATATTGATTCTCTGATACATGAATGTAGTGTATTTCTCTACTTACTTAGGTCTTCCTTAAAGTCTCTCAGCAATATTTTATAGCTTTCATTGTACAGATCTTACATACCTTTAGTTAGATTGATCCCTGATTATTTTTGCTGCTGTTGTAAATTACGTGTTTTTTACCCTTTTCCAGTTGTTCTTTGCTAACACATAGAAATACATTGTATTTTCTATATTGATCATATATCTGGCTGTCTTACTAAATAAACTCACTTATTGGTTCCAATAAGTATTTTGTAGATTCCTTCACGTTTTCTACATAGATGATCATCTGATGATAGAAACAGTTATACTTCTTTACAGTTTAGGCTGCATTTATTTATTTTCTTTGCCCCATTATACCAAAGCTGTACCTGTAGCTCCAGTACAGTGTGGATGGAAGTGGTAAGAGCAGCCATCTTTGCCTTCTTCCTTATCTTATGGGGAAGGCATTCATTCTTAAACCATTAATTATGGTGTTTGGTGTAGATTTTTCCTAGATGTTTATCAGGTTGGGGAAACTCTCCTATAAATTGCTAGGTTTTGAAATAAATAAATAAATGAATAAAAATTGCCAGTTTTCTGAGAATGTTTTTCATTTAAGTCAGGAATGAATGTTGGAATTTTATCCGATGTTCTTTTTGCAGTTACAGTGTTGAGATAATCATATTATTTTTCCTATTTTCTATTAGTATGGTTAATTGTATTGATTGATTTTCAAATGTTAAACCAACATTATGTTCTTGGGATAAAGTGTAAGTGATCTTACACAATGGAGTTTAAATGTAATAGAGTTCAGGGATGCCTGGGTGGTTCAGTTGGTTAAGCAGCCAACTCTTTTTTTTTTTTTTTTTTATTTCTTTTCAGTGTTCCAGAATTCATTGTTTATGCACCACACCCAGTGCTCTGTGCAATACGTGCCCTCCATAATACCCACCACCAGGCTCACCCAACCTCCCACCCCGCACCCGTCCAAAACCCTCAGATTGTTTTTCAGAGTCCACAGTCTCTCATGGTTCGTCTCCTCCTCCAATTCCCACCAACTCCCTTCTCCTCTTTATTTCCCCATGTCCTCCATGTTATTTCTTATGCTCCACAAATAATCAAAACCATATGATAATTGACTCTCTCTGCTTGACTTATTTCACTCAGCATAATCTCTTCCAGTCCCGTCCATATTGATACAAAAGTTGGGTATTCATCCTTTCTGATGGAGGCATAATAAATAGTCCATAATAGTCCACATCTTCCTTATCCATTCGTCCATTGAAGGGAATCTTGGTTCTTTCCACAGTTTAGCCACTGTGGCCACTGAAGCAGCCAGGTCTTGATTTCTGCTAAGGTGGTAATCTCAGTGTCCTGGGATCCTTCCTCCATCAGGCTCTCCTTCTGCCCCTCCCCTTACTTGTGCTCTCTCTCTCTCTCTCTCAGATAAATAAATCTTTTTAAAATTAAGCGGTGGCTCGCTGGGTTAAAGCCTCTGCCTTCGGTGCACGTCGTGATCCCAGGGTCCTGGGATCGAGCCCCGCATCGGGTTCTCTGCTCAGCAGGGAGCCTGCTTCCCTTCCTCTCTCTCTGCCTGCCTCTCTGCCTACTTGTGATCTCTGTCTGTCAAATAAATAAATAAAATCATTAAATAAATAAATAAATAAATGGGGGTGCCTGGGTAGCTCAGTCAGTTAAGCATCTGCCTTTGGCTCAGGTCATGGTCACAGGGTTCTGGTATCGAGCCCCACATAGGGTTCGGTGCTTGGCAGGGAGCCGCCTTCTCCCTCTCCTCTGCTGTTCCCCCTGCTTGTGCTCTTTGTGCTCTCTTGCTTTCTCTGTCAAATAAATAAATAAATAACCCAAATAAATAAATAAATAAATAAATAAAATTTTAAGAAATAAATAAATAGGGATACTTCAATGGCTCAGTTGGTTAAGCATCTGCCTTCAGATCAGGTCATGATCCTGGGGTCCTGGGATGGAGCCCTATGTCAGGCTTCCTGCTCAGTGGGGAGTTTGCTTCTTTATCTGTATCTCCCCTGCTCATGCTCAGTCTCTCAAATAAATAAATAAAATCTTAAAAATTTTTTTCAGGTGAAATAAAAGCGAAAAGCAAAAAATTACTGTGTACTGTAATCAGTCCTGTAATCGAGGTGTATATTCATGCTGTGGAAACATAAAGAGCTGTAAAGGTAGACTGTCATCTGTTAAGAAAACTGAAGAAAGGGGTGCCTGGGTGGCTCAGTGGGTTAAAGCCTCTGCCTACGATTCAGGTCATGATCCCAGGGTCCTGGGATCAAGCCCCGCATCGGGCTGTCTGCTCAGTGGGGACTGCTTCCCTTCCTCTCTCTCTGCCTGCCTCTCTGCCTACTTGTGATCTTTTTCTGTCAAATAAATAAATAAAAATCTTAGAAAAAAAGAAAACTGAAGGAAATATTAGTGATTCTAATTTATTTATTGGGCCAAATGGAATGGTGCTTTTAAGAAAGATGGTTGTGAACCTATTTACAAAGTCATAGTTATTACATATAATTAATTACATAACATACAATTTTACAGAATTATAAAATAAAAATTATTTTTTCATGATGCATGAACTTAGCCTAGACTATGAAAAATTTTAAGTTTTCAACATCACTGTAATATATAAAATCAGGGCAGTTTGCTTATTTTCTGTGATCACATAATGATGTAACAGCTAAAGAGGGTAGTGTCCTATGAGCCAGATATTAGGATCCAGGAATTTCTTGCTCTAAAAAATAACTTTAGGGTCAATTTATGTATAAAATATTAATGTAATTGATATTAAACAGAAATAATTTTTAATTTTTTTGTGTGTGTTCCAAAATACATTGTTCATGCACCACACTCAGTGCTCCACACAATACATGCCCTCCTTAATACCCACCACAAGGCTCACCCACTCCACCAGCCCCCTCCCCTCCAAAGCCCTTGTTTAGGTTCTCAGAGTCCACAGTCTCTCATGGTTCATTTCCCCCTCCAATTTTCCCCAACTCACTTCTCTCCATCTCCCAATGTCTTCCGTGTTATCCCTTATGCTCCACAAGTAAGTGAAACCATATGATACTTGACTCTGTCTGTTTGACTTATTTCACTCAGCATAATCTCCTCCAGTCCCATCCATGTTGATATAAAAGTTGGGTATTCATCCTTTCTGATGAAGGCATAATACTCCATTGTATATATGGACCACATCTTCTTTATCCATTTGTCTTTTGAAGGGCATCTTGGTTCTTTCCACAGTTTGGCGACTGTGGCTATTGCTGCTATGAACATTGGAGTACAGATGGCCCTTCTTTTCACTATGTCTGTATCTTTGGGGTAAATACCCAGTAGTGCAATTGCAGGGTCAAAGGGTCCTTAATTTCTTAAGGAATCTCCACACTGTTTTCCAAAGTGGCTGCACCAACTTGCATTCCCACCAACAGTTTAAGAGGTTCCCCTTTTTCCATATCTTCTCCAACACATGTTGTTTACTGTCTTGTTGATTTTGGCTCTTCTAACTGGTGTAAGGTGGTATTTCAATGTGGTTTTAATTTGAATCTCCCTGATGGCTAATGCTGATGAACATTTTTTCATGTGTCTGTTAGCCATGTCTTCTTTGGAGAAGTGTCTGCTCATGTCCTCTGCCCATTTTTCATGTAATTATCTGTTTTGTGTGTGTTGAGTTTGAGGAGTTCTTTATAGATCTTGGATATCAGCCCTTTGTCTGTAGTGTCATTTGCAAATATCTTGTCCCATTCCGTGGGTTACCTCTATTTTATTGACTGTTTCCTTTGCTGTGCAGAAACTTTGATCTTGATGAAGTCCCAAAAGTTCATTTTTGCTTTTGTTCCTTTGCGGACATGTCTTGAAAGAAGTTGCTGTGGCTGATGTCGAAGAGGTTACTGCCTATGTTCTCTAGGATTTTGTTGAATTCCTGCCTCACATTGAGGTCTTTTATCCATTTCGAGTTTATCTTTGTGTATGGTGTAAGAGAATGGTCAAGTTTCATTCTTCTATACATAGCTGTCCAATTTTCCAAGCACCATTTATTGAAGAGACTGTCTTCTTTCCACTGTAAATTTTTTCCTTCTTTGTGAAAGATTATTTGACCATAGAATTGAGGGTCCATATCTGGGCTCTCTACTCTGTTCCACTGGTCTATGTGTCTGTGTTTGTGCCAGTACCATGCTGTTTTGGTGATCACAGCTTTGCAGTAAAGCTTGACACTTGGTCTTAGCCAAACGGCCAAGAAGTGATTGTAGTAAAGCTTGAAATCAGGCAAAGTGGTGCCCCCGTTTTGTTTTTCTTTTTCAACATTTCCTTAGCAATTCGGGGTCTCTTTTGGTTCCATACAGATTTTAGGATTTCCAGCTCTTTGAAAAATACCAGTGGAATTTTGATCAGGATGGCATTGAAAGTATAGATTGCTCTAGGCAATATAGACATTTTAATAATGTTTTTTCTTCCGATCCATGAGCATGGAATGCTTTTCCATCTTTTTATGTCTTCTTGAGTTTCTTTCATGAGTGTTCTGTAGTTCCTCAAGTACAGATCCTTTACTTCTTTGATTAGGTTTATTCCCAGGTATCTTATGGTTCTTGGTGCTATAGTAAATGGAATTGATTCTCTAGTTTTTCTACATTTTCTATATTTTCATTATTAGTATATAAGAAAGCAACTGATTTCTGTGCATCGATTTTGTATCCTGCCACATCTCTGAATTGCTATATTAGTTCTAGTAGTTTGGGAGTGGAGTCTTTTGGGTTTTCCATAGAAAGTATCATGTCATCTGCAAAGAGAGAGAGTTTGACTTCTTCTTTGCCAATTTGAATATCTTTTATTTCTTTTGTTGTCTGATTGCTGTTGCTAGGACTTCTAGTACTATGTTGAACACAGCGGCAAGAGTGGACATCCTTGTCGGAACACAAATCATTTTTGATTCCTGCCTCAGTAAACCAACCTTTGCATTATTTTTAAGTGTTATTTTTTTTATAACTTAAACTTTTAGGATAATAGTGAACAATCTCACATGTAGAAGTTACCATTCAGAGTCTGAAGTTTGTATTCACAGTGTCTTTATGGGGACATCTGGCTGGCTCAGTTGAGTAAAGCATGCAACTCTTCTGTAAGTTTGAGCATGGAGCCCACTTCAAAAAAAAAAAAGATTCTTTATGAAAGATATCAAAATCGACTTGTTTTGAATTTTTTAAAAGATTTTACTTATTTATTTGAGGCAGAAAGAATGAGAGAGTAAGCATGAGGGGGGAAGGTCAGAGGGAAGAGCAGACCCCCTGCTGAGCAGGGACAGATGCAGGACTCATCCCAGGACTCCAGGATCAGGACCTAAGCTGAAGGCAGTTGCTGAACCAACTGAGCCACCCAGGTGCCCTGTTTTGAATAATTTTATTTTATTTTTTTTAATAATTTTAAAAAGTAAATAGAGTCACCAAATTTCAGTCTTGTCTGTTGAATGTAACTTTGTACAGCATAAGAAAGTACATTGTAAGGATTACTGTTCTTTTAAGAGAATAAACACATTAAACCTTGTAAAAAATACTACTGGCATAAGTGGGAATTTCCATACAGAGTAGACATGTCTGGGATTTTGTTAATAATAGCAAACGTTTATATAATACTGTACTTGCTGTGTGCCTATATAATAACATTCATTAATTCATTTAGTCCAGGTGATCGCACAGAGCTGGTACCATTATTATCCCCATTTACAGATGAGGAAAGTAAGGCATACACAGGCTAAGTGATAAGGTCAAGGCCATATAGCTGGTAAATTGGGATTGGACCCTAAGCAATTTGGTTCCAGTTCCATGCTCTTAATTAACTGTTGCACTATACTATCCTTTTTCTGAAATGAGTAATCTTTTCTAAAAAAATTGTCCTATGGGGTGAGCCCTGGGAAAAGTGCTAAAGTTGAATACTTAGCTTCCTAACACCCAAGGATAGTGGTGCTACCACCATTCATCTAGCTTCCCAAGCTCCTTATATTTCCCTCCTACCTCAGGTCTCTTGTTTGTAAATCCTGCCTATTAGGTTTCCTAAATATCTTCCAGCTTTGTCATTCTCTGCTGTCACTCTTCTTGCTCACTTGATCCTGACCATCTCATAGGTGGTTCCTCTGCCTTCTGTGTCTCCATTTCTAGTCTTTATTTGAGGCAGAAGAACTTTTATCTAAAAATCCTTAGTGGTTATTTTTAAATGTTATTTTAAAATGTTTATTGGGGCGCCTGGGTGGCTCAGTGGGTTAAGCCTCTGCCTTCGGCTCAGGTCATGATCTCCAGGTCCTGGGATCGAGCCCCGCATCAGGCTCTCTGCTCAGCAAGGAGCCTGCTTCCTCCTCTCTCTCTCTGCCTGCCTCTCTGCCTACTTGTGATCTCTGTCTGTCAAATAAATAAAATATTTAAAAAAATAAAAATAAAATAAAATAAAATAAAATGTTTATTAATACCCATTCTTACAATATCAAATCCAAACTTTATCATGTCTTACAAAAACCTGTTTTTCCCCCCAAGATACTTCCAGTTTATTTTTCCACCTTCAACTCTATCCATTCTCTTCTGTACTCTAAAGGACCTTCTTCCTGGATGGCTGTCTGAATATACTGTACTCTTATGTCTCATTGACCTTTATCCATGCTGTCCCCTCCATTTTGCCTGGTAAAGGTTTGCTTATCCTACAAGTTCTGACTCACTCAGTAGGGTCTGTAAATCCTTCCCTGACTTATTCAGGTGGAATCATCTGTTTCCCCTGCTCCCAAAGAAGTCTGTTTCTATGTCTAATATAGTATTCATCAAATTATATTATAGCTGTTGTCATTTCCTTCACCAGACTTGGGTTATTTACATTCACATTGTTTGCCAAGTAGGTGCTCAATAAATATTTTTGAATCAGTGAATAAATATATTAAATTCTAAAAATTTTTCCCATAGGTGCTGCAGATGATTACAATAGAATTGGTTCTTCATTATATGCTTTAGGAACTCAGGATTCTACAGATATATGCAAGTAAGGATTCTCATTTCAAATAAATAAAGCAAAAATTTCATTGGTAGCCTGAACACACAGAATATTTCCAACCCAAGAGGCATTTAGAATATCTTCTTTAAAATACATCAATAATGAGGCACTTCTTACAAACTTGGTTCAGTGTCATTTTTTCTCTACCATTTCTCCCTTTTTTAAATCTGAAAAGTAAAAATTGACTTTAATATATACAATTTTAACATTTACAAAGTTTTATTTGATGAAAATTGGCTGATTTATGTATGTGAGGAAGAAGGAGACAGAATTTATATCAAAATGTTCTTAGGTTTTGATGAAGTTTATTATAAATAAACATTTTGGAATTAGAATATACTATATATATATGTGTATTTCTTTGAAACCAGATTGACTTTTAAAGTAAAATGTGGTGCTGTCAGTTTACACTTTTTAAACAGGCTGGCTATTCTAGTTTATAAGTTTAATGAATCTTAGGGCAGTCCTAGAGTAACCTGTTGGGAAAGTATCATACATGTTAATATAGAAATGCTTTCTGGATATTTGCATATGTAGCTGTCCTTTATTTACTTTATACTAGTTTTTCACATTATTCTAACCATAGTTAATTTTAGTTGCTCCTATAATATTGTTTAAATCCAACTCCTCACTAAAAAATAATCTGAACTTTTTTTTTCAATTTTAAGTGGCAAAACTATTTTCACAATTTATACCTTTTTCTAAACCACATTCTTGAACTTTTTTCTAGTATATCCTGTCTTAGTAGACATGTAAAATCCAAGTTTTTCAGCAAAACAGGATACTGTATATAACTTATTACATTAACATGCTGCCTTCCCAAAGAGTTAGTCTCTAACACTTTAATAAGAAGAAAAAGTCAACCTTGCTGTGAGTTATTGGACATAAACCTGTCAAAGCAAGTTCTTTTTGGCAAAATAAAGTTCATAAAATAGTGTTTTAGCTTTTAGTAGTACTTGCCCCAATCCATTTATAACATCGCCAGTAATTACATATTATTTCACAGAATACCCTGTTAATAGTTTGGCATTGGGATTTTTTTTTTAGTTGGTGTCAGCATTTTAGAGATAGGCTGTTCAGTTAAACGTGAATTCTGAGATAGAAATTGGTTATTCATTTTTGTTATTTTCTAAAACAAAGCAGCTCTGCTTGAAGATGTTTAACACATAAGTATCAGATAACTTCAAGAGCTGCTCCAACTTTAGTTTTTTCCTTTAAAGTCAGCCTCTTTGGATCTGATTGTTCTGTACTTCTATAGCAATTTGAAGATACAGGCTTTATTTAATATTATGTGGCATATTGCTAAAGAATATAAGGAAAAAGTTTTTAATTTAAATGTATGGTTTAGAGTGCCTGGCTGGCCTAATCAGTGGAACATGTGACTCTTATTCTTGGGGTTGTGAGTTCAAGTCCCACATTGGGTATAGAGATTACTTTAAAAAGTACATACTAAATATGGGGCACCTGGGTGGCTCAGTGGGTTAAGCCTCTGCCTTTTGCTCAGGTCATGATCTCAGGGTCCTGGGGTCGAGCCCCACATCAGGCTCTCTGCTCAGAGGGGAACCTGCTTCCCCCTCCCCCTCTACCTGCCTCTCTGCCTACTTGTGATCTCTCTCTCTCTCTCAAATAAATAAATATTTTTTTTTAAAGTACATACTAAATAAATAAAAGTATGGCTAAGACTGTTACCTTGAAATGGGAAGATATTTTTGTAACAACAGTTTTCAAGTAATCTGTCATATGGATGAAAGTACAGAGGTGTTAAACTAAATGAAACTTAGTTAAGTCTGCAGTGAATAAGACCATTAAATATTACTGTAATGAAATAAGAAAGTTCATTATTAATACAGTTTTGGGGGCATATGCTCTGAACATTTGAAATGAAAAATCATTTCAAAGCTGACTTCTGATGAACTATTTTTCCCTTCCAGGTTTTTTCTCAAAGTTTCAGAACTGTTTGATAAAACAAGAGTAAGTACTATAAATTAACCTTTGGGAGTCTCAGTCCTTGCGTATAGTAATGTGTTTCCTGTTGTGGTTGTGTTTAACTTTATTGAGAAAGATGAGCTATACTTCAGAAGGATGAAGAGACAGATTTAGATTTGAAAATTTGATTTTTTTTTTTCAGGAAATTCATTTTTTGGTTATGGCCTTCTGGTGTTTGTGTAAAAGTTCATATTCTTGATCAGAGAACGTGTTCATTATGAAACCGCGTTTATTTTTATGAAGAATGATCTTTTTCTGGATCTGTGTAAACTAGAAGAAAGTGTTAGATTCATTATGATTTTACCAAGATGATACTGTTTTTGATCCCCCATGACACTGGTTTAAAAATGAATTGTATCAGGGCACCTGATGGTGGTTCAGTAGCTTAAGCATCTGCCTTCAAACTCAGGTCATGATCCTGGAGTCCCAGGATTGAGCCTGGTGTTGGGCTTTGCGATCAGCGGGGATTCTGCTTCTCCCACTCTCTGGCCCTCCCCACTCGTGTGCTCTCTCTCTCTCTCTCTCTCTCTCACTCGCTCTTAAATAAATAAAATCTTTCAAAAAATTAAAAAATAAAAATGAGTTGTATCAATACAAGACAAATAGGCAATTGTAGAAAGGTGTAATTCATAGAATAATGTTGACATAGTCTTGATTTTCTGGGATCAATCTTAGATGCAGTAATATTTAAACACTTTGATAAAGTTGATAGAATAGTGAAAATATTTATTAGAAGTTTATTGGGCACCTGGGTGGCTCAGTTGGTTAAATGACTGCCTTTGGCTAAGGTCATGATCCTGGAGTCCCAGAATCGAGTCCCACATTGGGCTCACTGCTTAGTGGGGAACCTGCTTCTCCCTCTGACCTTTACACTCTCATGCTCTTTATTTCTCTCTCTCTCTCTTTCTCTCTCTTCTCAAATAAATAACAAAATCTTTTTTAAAAAAGGGGGGGGGATGGGGCACCTGGGTGGCTCAGTGGGTTAAGCCTCTGCCTTCAGCTCAGGTCATGATCTCAGGGTCCTGGGATCAAGCCCCACATTGGGCTCTCTGCTCAGCAGGGAGCCTGCTTCCCCCTCTCTCTCTGCTTGCTTCTCTGCCTGCTTATGATCTCTGTCTGTCAAATAAATAAATAAAAATCTTAAAAAAAAAGGGGGGGGGGAGTTTAAAGGTACTTAACTGAGAGTGGAGGTGGCTAGTCCATTGTAGAAATCTGAGTTCAGCATGACTTTGTCAATTGAATAATGTGTAGTGAAGACAAGGAAAGGAGACATTCTCTCACAGAGGAAAGAGTCATTAAATACATAAATGTTGTTATACTGGGGTCCATTATTCTGCTTTGGTTATTTGTACCAATGAGCATTTTCTGGGAAAATATCATTGATTTCTGTGTGTTTACATCAAAAGAATAGGGATTTATCACAAAATAGCTTTATTTGTCAGTAGATGTGCAAGTAGATGTCAAAAGGATTTAGATGTGCAAGAGATTATTGGGAAGAACAAAGAGGAAGGAGCAGGATAGACATGAAGTGCCTTTAGACCATAATGCAGGTCTATACCTGTGAAAGGAGAGGGCAGAGGAAGAGGGGACTGGGTAGGAAGAATTTCAGATCGTAGCGTAGTTCTAAGAAAGTTTTGTCCAGGTGAGCCCAAGTGGCTCATTAGAGAGACTGCTGTGTCAGGCAGGATAGGCTGGCACTGCTGCCTCTGTGCTCTGTCATTGGGTGCAGGGGAGGATGCATCAGAACCTTGGGATGCATATTGTTTTGGATCTAGAGAGATTGCCGTTGGGACTCTGAAATGTATATAATCCTTGCAGCAAGCAGTTGTTCTTGAAGGAGATCTAGGTGGCACGCTGCCCTACGTAGCCACAACAATCTTTATTTCTTTTAGTGTTTTTGTGGTGGTCTGGTTTTTTTGCTGTGTAACAAACCATCCTAAGATCGGGAGCTTAAAACAACAACTTTTTATTATGCTAATGAAGTCTTTAGGTCAAGAATTCAGAAATGACAGAGCAGAGATGGCTTACCTCTGCTCCATGATGTCTGGGGCCTCAACAGGGAACATATGAAGGCTAGGGACTGCAATGAGCTGAAGGCTCTTTCAGATGTCTGGGGGGTGATGCTGGCTCTCAGCTGAGACTTCAGCATGGGCTGTTGGCTAAAACACCTACATGGTGCTTATCTATGGAGCGGCTAGGCTTCCTCACAATATGGTGGCTAGGTTCCAAAAGCAAGCATTCCAAAAGATAGGAAGCAGAAATTGCTAGTTTCATTAAGGCCTGGAAACTGGCACAGCCTTACTTCTGTATTGGTCAGTAAGTCTTAGGGCCCAGATTCAAGGGGAGAGGATAAATACTCTACTTCTTAATAGAAGAAGAGGAGCCATATTTAAAAGCACCCAACATCCGACTAACATGTTACCTGGATTTATATAAATCTGTTTATCTAAATTTATCTAACTCAATTTTGAATATACTTTGTGCATTTATTTGTTAGATTAAGAAGTTTCAAATTTTGGGGCACCTGGGTGGCTTAGTGGGTTAAAGCCTCTGCCTTCAGAAGCCCCTGCCTGCCTCTCTGCCTACTTGTGATCTCCATCTGTCAAATAAATAAATAAACTCTTAAAAAAAAAATTTCCAAGTTTATTTCTCTATTATAAAGGAATATTTTTCTTTTTTTTTATAAATAAGTCATTGATTTTTATTTTTTGTTTTGTTTTGTTTTAAAGATTTTATTTATTTATTTGACAGACAGAGATCACAAGTAGGCAGAGAAACAGGCTGGGGGGGCGGGGAGCAGGCTCCCTGCTGAGCAGAGAGCCCTATGCGGGGCTCGATCCCAGGACCCTGGGATCATGACCTGAGCTGAAGGCAGAGGCTTTAACCCACTGAGCCACCCAGGCACCCCTAAAGGAATATTTCTTGAGAAGCTTCAAGTTTTTTTCTTTATATTGAAGTATACCATACAGGAAAGAACACATACCAGAAGTATACAGCTTGTGAAATTTTACAAATTTCACATACCCATATAATGAACACCCAGATCAAGAAATAGAATTCTTGGGGTGCCTGGGTGGCTCAGTCGTTAAGTGTCTGCCTTCAGCTCAGGTCATGATCCCAGAGTCCTGGGATCGAGCCCCACATTGGGCTCCCTACTCAGCAGAAAGCCTGCTTCTCCCTCTCCCACTCCCCCTGCTTGTATTTCCTCTCTCGCTGTCTTTCCCTCTCTGTCCAATAAATAAATAAAATCTTTAAAAAAAAAAAAAGGAAATAAAATTCTTACCAGCAACCCAGATACCCTGACCCTCTTCAGCTGCCTTTTATGAGTTACCCCCTCTCTCAAGGGTAGCACTATCTTAGCTTCTAACAGCAGAGGTTAATTTTATTTTCGCATTTTATATAAATGCTTTATGCAGTATGTATTCTTTTATGTCTGGTTTCATTCACTCAATGCTATGTACGTGAGATTCATCAATGTTGTTGCATGTTTGTATAGTTCCTCCATTCTTCTTGCTGTATAGCTTTCCTTTGTAAGAATATACCTGAACTGGGGTGCCTGGGTGGCTCAGTAGGTTAAGGCCTCTGCCTTCGGCTCAGGTCATGATCTCAGGGTCCTGGGATCGAGTCCCGCATCGGGCTCCCTGCTCAGCGGGGAGCCTACTTTCTCCTCTCTCTCTCTCTCTGTCTGCCTGCTTCTGATCTCTCTCTGTCAAATAAATACATTAAACAACAAAAAAAAGAATATACCTGAACTTACTCATCTGTTCTACTGTTGGTAGGAATTTGGACAGTTTGTAGTTTGTGGCTGTTTACAAATAGTACTTCTAAGACCATTCTTGCATATCTTCAGCTGAAAATAAGTGTATATTTCCATTGGGTGTGTATAACCAGGGGGAGAATTAGGGGTCATAGGGTCTCCATGTGAAAAGCTTTTGTAGTTTGCCAAACTATTTCCCCAAAGTGATTGTACCAGTTTACATTCCCACCAGAATAAATGTGAGTAGTGGGTTGCTACACAAGTTTACAATATTTGTTATCTTTTTTATTTTAGTTATTCTGCTAGATTTGTAGGGTTTTTAAATTTTAACTTTATTTCAGCAGTAATTTCAGACTTACAGAAAGGTTTCAGGAATAATACAAAAATTATTGTGGCTCAGTGGATTAAGCATCTGCCTTTGGCTTGGGTCATGATCTCAGGGTCCTGGGATTGAGCCCCACGTTGGACTCACTGCTCAGTGAGGAGTCTGCTGTTCCCTCTCCCTCTGCGTTTCTCCTCCACTCATGCACGCCCTCTCTTGCTCTCTCAGATGAATAAATAAAATATTTTTTTAAAAAGACCAGTACACCTGGGGCGCCTGGGTGGCTCAGTGGGTTAAAACCTCTGCCTTCGGCTCAGATCATGATCCCAGGGTCCTGGAATCAAGCCCTGCATCAGGCTCTCTGCTCAGCAGGGAGCCTGCTTCTCCCTCTCTCTCTGCCTGCCTCTCTGCCTATTTCTGATCTCTGTCTGTCAAATAAATAAATAAAATCTTAAAAAAATATATATACAAAGTATTCCTGTACGTGTGTCCCCCAGATTTCCTGGATGATTAACATTTTCAGCATTGCTTAGAAGTGCTTTTTCCCCTAAAGTGCATATCCATTTTTTTTCTACCCTTTGTGCATATCTTTTTTTTTTTTTTCCAAAGATTTTATTTATTTGTTTGTCAGAGAGAGAGATTGAGAGATCACAAGTAGGCCGAGAGGCAGGCAGAGGCAGAGGGAGAAGCAGGTTCCCTGCGGAGCAAGGAGCCTGATATGGGACTTGATCCCAGGACACTGGGATCATGACCTGAGCCGAAGGCAGCCGCTTAACCAACTGAGCCACCCAGACGTCCCTATGCATATCTTTTTTAAAAAAGATAAGAATTAATTTTAATATAGTCAAGGGGTGCCCGGGTGGCTCTGTTGGTTGAAGGCCTGCTTTTGGTTTAAGTCGTGATGCATGATGTCAACGTCCAGGGATCAGGCCCCACAGCAGGCTCCTTGCTCAGTGGGGAACCTGCTTCTCCCTCTCTCTCTGCCCCTCCTCACCACTCAAGTTCTCTCTCTCTCCCTCTTTATCTCAAATAAATGTTAAAAACACTTTAAAAAGAATTTAATATCGTCAATATAATTATCAATGATTTCCCCTTAATTTCATCAAATATTGAGTATATAGATGCAGATGGCTTTTTACAGTGGAGTTCATTTGAGTTAGGGTTCAAACAAGGTCCCTATTTTGTATTTGGTTGACAAACACATCTTTTTTTTATTTTCTGTCTCCAAACCGAATTAAATAGTTTAATCTTTTTAGTCTAACAAGGCTGCTTCGCATTTTATCCCAGTTCAAACTAAACACATCTGTTTATTACTCTTTCATGTCTTCAGGCACATTTTGTTAACGTTTTGACTGTTTTTTGGTTGTTATCAGTAGGAAGATTGATTTGAATTTCCTAGTCTTCCTTCACTTTTTTTTTTAGGGGGAGGGGCAGAGGGAGAGGAAGAGAGAATCTTAAGCAGGCTGCACCCGCATCATGGAGCCCAGCATGGGCTCAATCTCAACAACCCCGAGATCATGACCTGAGCCAAAATCAAGAGTCAAGAGACTCAGCCACCCAGGACACCCATCCTTTATCACTGAAATGATGTAACAAGAAAGAAATATAAGTGATGCTGAAAGATGATACTGAAACTCATTATTGCCAAGAACTTGAGTCAAATATAGAGTTCTTCCATAAATTCACTAATCTCATTTGATTTCATCCTTTTTTCTGTTCATTTTTTTGTCAGAGTCCTGAAGTAAAGTAATAGTCTAGTAGAAAGGAGAAAGCAGGGAAATTTAGGTTAAATAGGAATGGATAATGGATACTATAGTTATTTTTAACTTTAATTTTTTTTTGAATAATTAAAGAAAACATTGGCTGTAGAATATAACTGCTAATTAAATGCTGGATTTCCCCCCCCCTTTTTCAGAAAATAGAAGCACGAGTGTCTGCTGATGAGGACCTCAAACTTTCCGACCTTTTAAAATATTACTTAAGGGAATCTCAAGCTGCTAAGGTAATTTGACTGTTCATTGTTTTTTAAAATGGACTATTTTACAAAAAGCCATCTCTTTACCAAAAGCCTTAGAGGTTGTTAGACTTAAGATTGTTAATGATTATCTCTTGATCTTAAATTAGATTTTCAAGTGTGAATTTTTTGCTCTCCTTTTACAAATTGTTGGTCAAGGATCCCCACATAAAAGTTTACTCTATAAACTTCTGATATAGTATAATCTAAAACTTTTTTTAATGAATTTGGTATATTCATTTGGGTAAGATGCCTACAAAACAAAAAATAAAATCCCCAAATAACAGTCTCTATAGCTAAAGGACTCCTAAGTCCTTTGTTGTGAGTGAGAGAACTGTAAAACCAGGGTATGTTTTATTTTAAGGCAACTCAAATTTCCTTTTGGAAGTCTGTCTATGTGCAAGACTGAAACTCTTAACTAATCCAAAAAAATGTTTAACGGAAACATCTGAAAAAGCACTAAAAACTTAGTGGCTCAGATATTCTTAATTCGGGGTACCTGGGTGGCTCAGTTAAGCATCTGCCTTCGTTCAGCTCAGGTCATGATCCTGGGGTCCTGGAATCAAGCCTCACATGAGGCTCCCTGCTCAGCGGGAGCCTGCTGCTTCCTCTCCCTCTGCTGCTCCCCCTGCTTATACGTATGCTCTTGCTACCTCACACGTAAACAAATAAAATCTTAAAGAAAAAAACAAAAAGAGGCTGGGGCGCCTGGGTGGCTAAGTAGGTTGGGTGTCTTGCTTTCAGCTCAGGTCCTGGGATCAAGCCCCACGTTGGGATCTCTGCTTAGCAGGAGCCCGATTTTTCCTCTCCCTGCCGCTCCCCCTGCTTGTACTCTCTCTCTCTGTCGAATAAATAAAATCTTGGGGGAAAAAAGACATTCTAAATTCAGTGTTAATTTATGAATTGATATATTGTACAAAAAATTCCCATGTGATCAGTGGTGCTTTGACCACCAGTTTTTCATTCCTTATCAAGTTATAAATAACCCTTGGGGCACTTGGGGGGCTGATCATGCAGCTCTTGATCTCAGGGTCTTGAGTTCAAGCCCTGTGTTGGGCATAGAGCTTACTTAAAAAAAATTATAGGAGTGCCTGGCTGTCTCAGTTGGAAGAGCATATGATTCCTGATCTCGGGATCGTGAGTGCAATCATCATGCAAAGTAAAGAGATTTCTTAAGGGGTGCCTGGGTGGCTCAGTCGTTACGCATCTGCCTTCGGCTTGGGTCATGGTCTCAGGGTCCTGGGATCAAGCCCCGTGGACGTCCAGCTCCCTAATCAGCAGGAAGCCAGCTTCTCCCTCTCCCACTCCCCCTGCTTGTGTTCCCTCTCGCTGTGTCTCTCTCTCAAATAAATAAAATCTTAAAAAAAAAAAAGAAAAAAAGAGAGAGAGATTACTTAAATAAATAAACAAGTTATAAATAATCTTTCTAACTTTGAGGACTTAGGTACTTGGAAATATACTGTCCACATCAAATTATTTTGCCAGATTATGTCTTACAAACCATTTACATTGGGGTAGATAGGGACAAAATGAGTTATTCACTTGAAACACTAAATTCATTATTTTATTATAATATTATAGTTGTTAATACATAACTTTTTAGAACATGGCTTTAAAAGTAAATCCAGGGATGCCTGGGTGTGGCTTAGTCGGTTAAGCTGCTGCCTTTGCCTCAGGCCGTGATCCCAGGATCCTGGGATCGGGTCCTGCATCGGGCTCCATGTTCTGCAGGAAGCCTGCCTCATTCTCCACCTCTGCCTGCTACTCTGCCTGCTTGTGCGTGCGTGCGCGCGCGCTCTCTCTCTCTCTCTGACAAATAAACAAAATCTTTAAAAATAATAAATAAATAAATAAAAATTTAAAAAATAAAAAATAAATAAAAGTAAATCCAGACTTTTTAGTGACCACAAGAAGGAATTGAAATTTAATTGCAAAAATTAAAACTACCTACAGCAGAGGGAATATGGGAATCAACAATAGTATAATAGCAGTGTATGGTGTCAGATGGGCATTAACACTTGCGGTGAGCACAGCATAGCATAGAGTGGTCAGATCACTGTTGCATACCTGAAACTAATGTAACATTGCATGCTAACTGTTCTTGAATATAATAAGTAATTAAATAAGTAAATAGCTGTTTAAAAGATATTTAATATTTATTAAACAGCTGGGGGGGAACCACACACCTTTTTTTTTCTTGTTTTAAGATTTATGTATTTATTTTAGAGAAAGCATGTGTGTGCACATGTGGGGGGAGCAGCGGGAGAGAGAATCCTCAGGCAGACTCCCCACTGATCGTGAAGCCCATCATGAGGCTTGATCCCAGGACCCTGAGATCATGACCTGAGCCAAAGGCATGCTCAACCAACTGAGCCACCCAGACGTCCCTCACCACAGATGCCCCTTAATGAGAATGTGGCTAAAATGAAAAATTCTTTTTTTTTTAAGATTTTATTTATTTATTTAATGGAGAGTGATCATAAGCAGGGGGAGCAGCAGAGGGAAAGGGAGAAGCAGACTTCCCTCTGAGCAGGGAGCCCAATATGGGGCTTGATCCCAGGACCCTGGGGTCATCACCTGAGCTGAAGGCCGACACTTAACAACTGAACCACCCAGGCACCCCAAAAATGAAAAATTCTGACAAAAATTATAGCAACTAGAACTTTCATACCCTGTTAGTTGGAATATGATACAATATTTTGGAAAAGTTTTATAGTTTCTTAAAAAATTAAACATACATCTGTGGTCCAGTCATTCTAATCCTGGGTATTTGAGAGCATGTGTTCCCACAGATGTTCACAGCAGCTTTATTTGTAATAGCCAAAAACTGCAACAGCCCAAATGTCCAACAACAGCTGGATGGATAAAGAAATTGTGGTGTATATATACAGTGGAATCCTACTCAGCGGTAAAAAGGAATGAACCGTGGAAACATGCAACAAATATGGATGAATCTCAGAATAATTTTGCTGAGTAAAAGAAGCGAAACAATAAAGATCATGGTTTACACTAGAGCTCACTCTTAGTGTTACATATTCTTTTTTGTTTGGAGAAATGTGTAATGATACTTATCTACCATTATAAGCATCACCATTATAAACAGAATAGTTTTCACTGCCCCAAAACTCCTCTCTGCTCCATCTATTTGTCCTCTTTCCCCTTAAATTTTTAATGTTCTTTTTTTTTTTAACATCTCCATAGATTAGCCTCTTCCAGAGTGTCATATAGTAGGGCCTTTTCACATTGACCACTTCTTATTTATTTATTTACTTAACAACAGAGCACATATGAGCACAGACTGGGGGAGGGGCAGACTGAAAGGGAGAAACAGACTCTGTGCTGAGCAGGGAACCCTATGTGGGGCTCAATCCCAGGACCCCAGGATCATGACCTGAGGCAAAGGTAAACCAACTGAGCCACCCAGGCACCCAATCAACTGATTCTTTTTTTTTTTTTTTTTAAGATTTTATTTATTTATTTGACAGACAGAGATCACAAGTAGGCAGAGAGGCAGGCAGAGAGAGAGAAGGGGAAGCAGGCTCCCTGGGGAGCAGAGAGCCCGATGCGGGACTCGATCCCAGGACCCCGAGATCATGACCTGAGCCGAAGGCAGAGGCTTAACCCACTGAGCCACCCAGGCGTCCCAATCAACTGATTCTTAACAAAGGTCCTAAGACAGTTTTGGGGGGAAAAGAATAGACTTTTCAATAAATGGTACTGTGTCATCTGAATAGTCACATGAAAATAAAGCTAGACCCCTTCCTCATACTATGTATAAAAATATGCTCAAAATTGATCAAAGACCTGGGGCACCTGGGTGGCTCAGTGGGCTAAGCGTCTGCCTTCGGCTCAGGTCATGATCTCAGGGTCCTGGGATTGAGCCCCGCATTGGACTCTGTGCTTAGTGGGGAGCCTGCTTCCCCCTCTCTCTCTGCCTGCCTCTCTGCCTACTTGTGCTCTCTCTTTGTCAAATAAATAAATCAAATCTTTAAAAGAAAAAAAATTGATCAAAGACCTAAACATAACAACTGTAATACTTTTAGAAAAAAACAAATACTAATCTTGTGACTTCTGATTGGACATTGGTTTCTTGGATATGACACCAGGAGCACAGGAACCAAAGGAAAAATAATAAATTGGACGAACTTTATTAAAATTAAAAACTTGTGTGTGTTAAAGTACACCGTGAAGAAAAGTGGAAAGACAACCCATAGACGGGGAGAAAATATTTGCAAATCATACAAGTCCCTAATTAAGCAACTGGTATCCAGAAAATACGAAGAACTCTTAATACTCAGTAAGAAGACAAATAGCCCAATTAAAAAATAGGCAAAGGACTTGAATAATCCTTTCTCCAAAGAAAACATACAGCCAGCCAGTGAATTCATAAAAAGATGCTCAACGACATTAGCTATCAGGGAAATGCAAATCAAAACCACAGCAAGGGATACCTGGCTGGCTTAATAGGTAGAATATGCAACTCTTTTTTTTGTTTGTTTGTTTGTTTATTTGTTTATTTGACAGACCGAGATCACAAGTAGGCAGAGAGGCAGGAAGAGAGAGAGAGAGGGAAGCAGGCTCCCCGCTGAGCAGAGAGCCTGATGTGGGGCTCGATCCCAGGACCCCGAGATCATGACCCGAGCCGAAGGCAGAGGCTTAACCCACTGAGCCACCCAGGCGCCCCAGAACATGCAACTCTTGATTTTGGGGTTGTAAGTTCAAGCCCTACATTGGGTGTAGAGATTACTTAAAAAATAAAATCTTTACTAACAAAACAAAACCACAATAAGATACCATATCACACCCACTAGGTGGCTTTAACCAAAAGGACAGATAAGTGTTGCCAAGGATGTGTAGAAATTAGAACCCTCATGAAGAGTCATTGGAGTGTAAAGTGGTGCAGCTGCTAATCTGGCAGTTTCTCAAAAGGTTCAACATAGAATTACCAAGTGACCCAGCAATTCCACTCCTAAGTAATGAGATATGAAAGAGAAAGGAAAACATGTTCAAAACAGCATTATTCATAATGGGCAAAATGTGGAAACAAACCAAATGTCTTATTGATTGATAAGTGGATAAATCAGTGTGGTATTTCCATACAATGATATGTTATTTAGCAATAAAAGGAATGAAGTACTGGTTCACACAAAAACATGAATGAACTTGAAACTTTATGCTAAGTAAAGAAAGCCAGACAGAAAAGGCCACATATTATATGATTCCATCTTTTTTTTTTTTTTTTTTTTTTTTTAATGAAATGTCCAGAATAAGCAAATGTATAGAGACAGCAAATTAGTGGTTGGGGGTGAGGGGTGCATGAGAGGAAGTGAAGAATGACTGCTGATGAATATGGGGTTTCCTTTTGGGTAACAAAATTGTTTTTAAATTGATTGTAGTAATGGTTAAACAATTCTGTGAGAATGCTGAAAACCGTTGAATTGGCACTTTGAATGAGTTACATGTATGTGAATTTATCTCAGTAAAGCTGTTATTAAAAACAGTTGAGAAGAGTAGCTGGCATGTATGGCATTCATGGTGTGTTTGCTCTGATGATGGTGGTTGCGAGTAACTATTAGAAACATGCAGCATATATTACTGTGAAGCATTCTGTTTTATAGGATCTCCTCTATCGAAGATCTAGGTCACTAGTGGATTATGAAAATGCTAATAAAGCACTGGATAAAGCAAGAGCAAAAAATAAAGATGTTCTGCAGGCTGAAACCTCCCAACAATTATGTTGTCAGAAATTTGAAAAAATATCTGAATCTGCAAAACAAGGTACTGTTAACCTTACCCTTTAATCATAAGGTATACTTTAAACTATTATGTGGGTTAAATAGTTAATCCTAATCTCTTTTGTTCACAGAACTTATAGATTTTAAGACAAGAAGAGTTGCTGCATTCAGAAAAAATTTAGTGGAACTGGCAGAGTTAGAACTGAAGCATGCAAAGGTATTGTCATATTAAAGGTTTAATAATTTAAGTGACTTATAATTTAGAAATGAGTCCGTTATGTGGTGCCTGGCTGGTTTAATTGGGAGAGTATGTGAATCTTGATCTCAGGTTCATGAGTTTGAGCTCCATGTTGGGCATGGAGATTACTTAAAAAAAAAAAAAAAAAATCGGGCTCTCTGCTCAGCAGGGAGCCTGCTTCCCTCTCTCTCTCTCTGCCTGCCTCTCTACTTGTGATCTCTCTCTGTCAAATAAATAAATAAAAATCTTAAATTAAAAAAAAAAAAAGGAAATGAATCCATTATGGAATGATAATGATTCTTTAATGACAGTTTCTCTCTATAGGCATACTGTAAGAAATATTCCTGAATTAGAATTAATTACAATTGGATTATAATGTTTTTAAAGATTTTACTTATTATTTATTTCACAGGCAAAGATCACAAGTAGGCAGAGAATCTTAGGGGCACCTGGGTGGCTCAGTGGTTTAAGCTTCTGCCTTCGGCTCAGGTCATGGTCTCAGGGTCCTGGGATGGAGCCCCACATCGGGCTCTCTGCTCGGCAGGGAGCCTGCTTCCCCCACCTCCCGCCCCTCTGCCTGCCTCTCTGCCTGCTTGTGATCTCTGTCTGTCAGATAAATAAATAAAATCTTTAAATAAAAAAAAAAAAAAAAAACTTGAGAATCTTAGAATTGAGAGGGATTTTACAAGTCATCTAATTCAAACAAGAATAATATCTACAGTTTCTCTAAATGGTCAGCTCTGCAAGACTCTGGCACCTAGGGGCGCCTGAGTGGCTCAGTGGGTTAAAGCCTCTGTCTTCAGCTCAGGTCATGATCCCAGAGTCCTGGGATCAAGCTCCACATAGGGCTCTCTGCTCGGCGGGGAGCCTGCTTCCCCCTGCTCTCTCTGCCTGACTCTGCCTACTTGTGATCTCTGTCTTTCAAATAAATAAATAAAATCTTTAAAAAAAGAAAAAAGACTCTAGTACCTAATATGGACTAGCTAAAAAAAAAAAAAAATCTCTCTTTAATTAAAAAAAAAATTTAGGGGCACCTGGATAGCGCAGTCATTTGGGCGTCCAACTCTTGGTTTAGGCTTAGATCATGATCTCAGGGTTGTGGGATCAAGCCCTGAGGTGGGCTCTGTGCTCAGTGTGGAGTCTGCTTGGGATTCTCTCTTCCTCTCCCTCTGCCCCTCCTTCTGCTCTCTTACTCTCTCCAATAAATAAGTCCTTTAAAAAAAAAACTTAATGTACTTAACATATTCTGTCTTCAGTCAGAGGGACGGAAAACTAAAAGCATATTCAAAATTTCTCAAACTGTAAGTATTAAATTTAAATCAACTTTTTAGCCTTTTTTTTTTTTTTTAAGGATTTTATTTATTTATCTGTCAGAGAGAAAGAGGGAGAGAGAGCGAGCACAGGCAGACAGAATGGCAGGCAGAGTGGCAGAGGGAGAAGCAGGCTCCCTGACAAGCAAGGAGCTCGATGTCAGACTCGATCCCAGGACGCTGGGATCATGACCTGAGCTGAAGGCAGCTGCTTAACCAACTGAGCCACCCAGGCGTCCCAAATTTAAATCAACTTTTAAGTGTTTATTTTTTTATATATTTATAGCATTTACCCTTTGAAAGTCATTAAAAAGTTTAAAACTGCACCAAGAGTTTTGGGACACCACATAATGAACATGAACACAAATCTGCTTCTGTGTAAACTTTGACAAATTGGTCAAAGTTTTGTCATCTAAAATAAGAAAGATAAGTTTAATTTCTTTTATAGCTTACCCTCAAATATTTAAATAGTTTATATTCTGTATATATATTGTCTCCTCCAGGCTAGACATCCTTGGGCTAAATATTTTTTATCTCCTACATTTCAATAAGCTTTTTATGTTATTGCCCTCCTGCCATTGCTGGTTTAAAATATTACACTGGGGGGGGGCTCATGGGTGGCTCAGTGGGTTAAAGCCTCTGCCTTCGGCTCAGGTCATGATCCCAGGGTCCTGGGATCAACCCACATCGGGCTCTCTGCTCAGCAGGGAGCCTGCTTCCCCCTCCACCCGTCTCTGCCTGCCTTTCTGCCTACTTGTGATCTCTGTCAAATAAATAAATAAAATCTTAAAAAATGTATATTACACTGGGAAATAGAAACACTTCTGTGCGCGGGCTGATTATTGTGCACATTTCTTCTTACATTGTGCTTTATATGTTACAAGGGTTTAAGGTGCCATCTCGTACCAGCTTGATTTGGCCTATAGTCACACTTCTCTTCTTCTTCAAAGTCTTCCTGTTTTTTTAAAGATTTTATTTATTTAGTTGTCAGCGAGCACAGGTATTGGGCTGCAGGCAGAGGGAGAAGCAGACTCCCTGCTGAGCAAGGAGCCCGATGCAGGACTTGATTCCAGGACCCTGGGATCATGACCTGAGCCAAAGGCAGATGCTTAACTGACTGAGCCACCCAAGTGTTGCTGGAAGTCTTTTCTTAAGCTCCAGCCAGTTGTGTGTTTCATTTTATTTTAGTCATTTTTTTTCTTTTTTGTGGTATAAAACACATAAAATTTACCACTGTAGCCATTTTAAAGTGTGCAGTTCAGCAGTGTTAAGTATATTCACATTGTTGTGCAACAAGTTTCTAGAACTTCTTCAGGTATTGAGCATTTAATTTTTTAAAATGTAATTGTAACCATATTTAAGTCTATTAAATTTTAGCTTGCTAGTTTTAGCCTAGTGTGGTATCTTTTCGAAACCTCAGTTCAATCATATCGTACTTGACTATTAGAGTGGTTATTACTCCCAAGTGATAGACATTTGTAATTTGTATGAATTTCCCTTTTATGTCCTTATCTAAGTTTTAATTCAAAGGATTGAACAGGGAGCACCTGGGTGGCTCAGTGGGTTGTATCTGATTCTTGATTTCAGCTCAGGTCTTGATCTCAGGGTCATGAGTTCAACCCCTGCAATGATGGAGCCTACTAGGAAGAAAGGGAGGGAGGGACAGAGAGAGAGAGAAAAAGGGAGAGAGAGGGAGGGAGAAAGAAAGGGGGAGAGAGAGGGTCCTGGGATCAAGCCCCACATTAGGCTCCCTGCTCAGTGGAGAGCCTGCTTCTCCCTGTTCCTCTGTCTGCTGCTCTGCCTACTAATGCTCTGTTTTTATCTGTCAAATAAAATCTTTAAAAAAAAAAAAAAAAGAAAGAAAGAAAAAGAGAAAGAACGTGTTTTGATAAAGCTGGCATGATTTATTCTTACTCTACATGGATTGGTTTCTAATGTTCACTATTTTTGTTCTTTTTAAAGAGGTTATAAACTATCAAGGATTTTGCTAATAAATTAAGGAGGGGTTGGCAAATTACAACATACTTTTGTAAAGCCTATGAGTCAAGAGTGGCATTCATGATTTGTTGTTGTTGTTGTTGTTGTTGTTTTTAATTATTTTGGCAGTCTTTTTTTTTTTTTTTTTAATTTGACAGAGAGATCACAAGTAGGCAGAGAGGCAGGCAGAGAGAGAGAAGAAAGCAGGCTCCCCGCTGAGCAAAGAGCCTGACGCGGGGCTCAATCCCAGGACCCTGGGATCATGACGTGAGCCGGAGGCAGAGGCTTTAACCCACTGAGCCACCCAGGCAACCCTTGGCAGTCATATTTTTAAGTCATTATTTTAAGCAAAGGAATATCATGATGTGATAATTTTATGAAATTTATAATTTATAAGTAAAGTTTTATTAGGATACAGCCAAGCTCATTCATTTATGCTTTGTCTATGATTGCTTTTATACTACTACTATAGCAAATAGTTACTGAATATTTAATAGTTAAAACAGAGATCAAATGTCTCTTAAAGTCTAAAATGGTTTTTGGGGGTGCCTTCTCTCTCTCTGCCTGCCTTTCTGCCTACTTGTGATCTCTGTCTGTCAAGTAAATAAATAAAATCTTTAAAAAATTAAAATTAAATGGTTTTTGTTTTTTTTAAGATTTTATTTGAGAGAGTGAGTGGGAAGAGAGAGAAGCAGGCTTCCCGCTGTGCAGGGAGCCCAACACGGGGCTCAGTCCCAGTATCCTGGGATCATGACCTGAGCCAAAGGCAGATGCTTAACCTACTGAGCCACCCAGGCGCCCCTCAAAATCTAAATGTTTAGTACATAATTAGCCCTTTACATAAAAAGTTTCTACTGCTACTATAGATTGATGTCAACCTCTAATTTCCAGATTTTGTACTTTTCAAATCCTTTCTGAAACATGTTCTCTGTATTCAGATTTCTTCTTTTTTTAATTTTGTTTTATTTCTTTGGCAGAGAGAGCGATCACAAGCAGGCAGAGAGGCAGGCAGGGTTGGGGGGGAGGGAAGCCTCTGAGCTACCCAGGCGCCCCCCTTAAAATCCTTTTAATTTATGAGAAAAGAATGACAGGTTTTCAAGAAATTATCCCATGCTTTTGTGAGTTTTTTTGTTTGTTTTTTAAATATTTTATTTATTTATTTGACAGATAGCAATCACAAGTAGGCAGAGAAGCAGGCAGAGAGAGAGGGAAGCAGGCTCCCTGCTGAGCATAGACCCAGACGCAGGACTCAATCAGAGGACCCTGAGATCATGACCTGAGCTGAAGGGAACGGCTCAACCCACTGAGCCACCCAGGCGCCCCTTTTGTGGGATTTTTTTGTTTTTTGTTTTTACCTCCTTAATGTTTTCACTTAAATCATCCCTTCATTTCAAGTGAGCCAGTCATTCACCAAGCCATTCACTCACCTCCCACTGCACTGTGCCACAATGGGCTGGGTTACAGGGACCAGCCTGTTGGGACCTCTGCTCTCAGAGTTCATGGTCTGAAAAGAAACGTGTCCATGTGTCCCTCAGAAAGAATGTTGTAATTAAGTTTCACCATAGTAAGTACCTCCCTTTGCCAGGGGCCATGGGCGTGGTAGGGCAGGCCGCACAGCGCCAGCGTTTAAGGAGTTCCTGGCCCAGGGGAAGAGACAGGAAGACACTGAAACAGAGGAATCCTAGTTTTTTTGTGACATTCTTGGACCAGCGCCACAGTAACCTCGGCGTCCTTGGCCCACGTCTCTCTGGCAGGGGCTGGGCAGAGCCTCTGGAGGCTGAGTTATTCCAGGAGCAGTGAGAGAAACATTTGTGGGTGAAGGAGAAAGAAAAGAAGGTGAAAAACAGATGAGCTCTGGGGAGGGCAGGGGTGAGAGTCAGTCCGCAGGGTAGAGAAACTGCTGGTATGTTGGCTTAGTATGGGAGGAAAGGCTGGTCAGTTTGAATACGAAAACGAAGGAAAACCCTCCAAACCTGTGTACAGTCCCTCAAAACACAGTACAGGCTTGGTAAAACTTTTGTGCATTTTTTTATCATAGCAAATACAGAAAGGTACAAAGAAAATAAACATTTATTTATGACAGAATGACTATCAACATTTCAGCCATACATAATTTATTCAAATGGATCGTTTCTGTGGAATCAGAGTTTGGCAAATGGATGGGCTTCCAAATGGGGGAGAATGAATTTTGGAGTTTCCTTCAGCAATGTTATGTTTAAAAGTTGCCAACCTTCAAAGCAAATTTTATCTGATGCAAAATGGGTTTATTTGGGAATAACAGGAATTACAATTCAGGACAAGGGAGCTATAGCAAAAGCCGCAGGTAAGTGCAGAGAACAAAGGACAGGAATGCTCTTTTATAGAGGGAAGGGGGTAGTTGGGAAAGGCCGTTACAAACAAAAAGTCCACTAAAGTAAACTGTGAGTTGGAAGTGTCGTGGCTTTTCATTGGCTTAGCTGTGACAGGCTTGCCTTGTGGGGGCCATTGCTGGACAAGGAGACACCTTGCTTTCTCTTGCTGGGGTAGTAACATGGGTTTCCTCCTGTTGAGAATACAAGGTACTAAGAAAAAAAAAAAAAAGAATGCAAGGTACTTCACTTCACTTCTCTTCCTGATGGGTCTACAAAGTATGCAGTCAGTGGTAGGATCTGAGGGCTCCCCTTCTGGCCTCCCAACTCCATTTTATTTTATTTTATTTTACTTTAAGATTTTACTATAACAGAGATCGAGAGAGGGAACACAAGTAGGGGGAGCTGGAGAGGGAGAAGCAGACTCTCCTCCAAGCAAGGAGCCAACCCTGTGTTGGGTTCCCTGCTCAGTAGGGAGTTGCTGCTCCCTCTCCAGCTCCTCCAGTTTGTGCGCTCTCTGTCTCTCTGTCAAATAAATAAAATATATTTTTTAAAGATTTTATTTATTTATTTGACAGAGATCACAAGCAGGCAGAGAGGCAGTCAGAGAAGGTGGGGGCGGGTGGAAGCAGGCTCCCTGCTGAGCAGAGAGCCTGAAATGGGGCTCGATCCCAGGACCCTGAGATCATGACCTGAGCCAAAGGCATAGGCTTAACCCACTGAGCCACCCAGGTGCCCCACATAAAATATTTTTTAAAAATAAGTAAATAAAATGATGTCTGCAGGTTTCTCAGTGGCAAAGTTACTGTTTTATACTTTGAAATTAACAAGTATTCTGTGGTGAGATACTTGGCTTGGGACTATGTAAGTTAAATAGCCATCACTTAACCGTCAATCAGTGGTAGGATCTGAGGGCTCCCCGTAGAATTTTGTGTGATAATGGAAATACTCTATGATCAGCACTTCCAGTATGGTAATCACTAGCCACATGTGGCTGCCAAATGTTTGAAATGTGTGTAGTGCAACTGAGAAGCTCAAACTGAGTTTTTATTTAATTTTAATTGGCAGAAATTTAAGTGTTCTGTAGCATGTACCTAATGACCACAGTATTAGCATTTCAGCCTTATATTGTTTTTAGCATTCAATCCTGACTTTTTCCTGAGTCAGTTTTTATGATGGTGGCCAAATGGTGATGAATTTCTAATTCCATCATTGTACACATTTTAGTTGGCTTTCTACTCTAAGGAAGTTTTCCCTCTCCCCCATTTATGAGTTGATGTAACATATATGTTTACATTTGTCTTTACACATATCCGAATTTGGGGGCCAGTTCACATGTTTTACAGATGCTACACAGGTTTGCATTTTATAGAATACATTTGTATGTGATCTTACTACTTTATTTTTACTTTTTTTTCTTTTTTGAGAGAGGGAGATCATGAGGGTATGGAGGGGTGGAGGAAGAGAGAGAGAGAGAATCTTAAGCAGGCTCCACACACAGCATGAGCCCAGTGCAGGGCTTGATGTCACAACTGCAAGATCATGACTTGAGCCAAAATCAGCAGTTGGTCGCTTAGCCAACTGAGCCATGCAGGCAGCCCCTTATTAAATTTTTTATAAAAATTGCTATAACTTACCATTTTAGTCATTAAAATATACATTATATTAATTATATATGTAATATACTACACATATTTTAATGGCCAAAGGAGAGTGATAAGAGCCTATCTTACTGTCAGGAATGTTCAGGGACACCTGGGTGGCTCGGTTGAATGTATGCCTCTTGGTTTTGGCTCAGGTCATGATCTCAGGTCAATGGCATCGAACCCCATGTGGGGCTCTGTGCTCAGCAGGGACTCTGAGATTCTCTCCCTCTGCCCCTCTCCCTGCTATCTCTCTAAATAAATATCAGTAGTTTAACTTGGACACACAGAGCATATTTTATCTCTCATTAGAGCGTGCCAGGCAATTCAAAACAATAATATTGGTCTAGATGGAAAATTACTGAAGAATCTGGTATATGGAAAATTGTACATGAAACAAAGTATATAGTTTTATGTCTTTAAACAGTTATTTTTGGGGGTGTCTGGGTAGCTCAGTCATTGGACATCTGCCTTCGGCTCAGGTCATGATCCCAGGATCCTGGGATAGAGCCCCGCTTTGGGGGGGGGGTCCCTGCTCAGCGGGAAGCCTGCTTCTCTCTCTCCCCCTCCCCCTGCTTGCAATCCCCTCTCTCTCTCTCTCTCAAATAAATAAATAAATAAAATCTTTTTTAAAAAGTAGTTACTTCTGTGTAATGAGTAGCTTGTTACCAAAACTCTGTTGGCTTAATAAATTTAAAGTTACGTGATTTCTAGTGCTGTATATTTTTTCAGTACAATTCTTCCAAGCTCTTTGAGCTTCATAATTTATTCTCCCTTCCCTTGTAGGGTAACCTACAGTTGCTGCAGAACTGCTTGGCAGTGTTAAATGGAGACACATAAGCCACACTCCACCTTCGGTTAAAAAGGGCTGCCTTCCTTCAGATTTTATTTTTGTTTTCTTAATGATATTAAGCATTTACTGCTCACTGGAAACAAAAGAAACAGCTGACAAAGTGCATCTACTCTCCTTTTTTCTGAGAAACCACGGAGCGGTGCCGTCCATGGGCTCTGCCAGTGTGTGCGGTGGGATGCGGCACCCCTGCACCTGTGTGCTCCCTGCAACAGCTGTCCCTCACCGTGCGCGCCTCCTCTCCCGAAGCCCAAAGTTCAGTCTTGTTTTAAGTAGCCTCTGTAACTGTGTTTATTTTATGAATAGTATTCCTTATGGCTGCCAGTCTTACTTACTTTTAAGTACTTTCTGAAGTTTAACCCTTTTAAAAATACATTGCTCAAATGAGATAAAGATTGCCATTACCTTTTTTTGAATTTTGTTTTTAAAAAACATTGTATACCACCTTAGTTCATTCATGTATCCTGGTAAAGCATCTTAATCAGACTTATTTTTAATTAATGAACATTTCTTAGAAGTTTGGGGACAGATTTTATGTAATCTTTATAAGTATGATTTCTGATGAAAAGCAAATGCATTAGTATGTTTGCCTTAAACTTGTAGACTAAACCAACTATTATCAAATAAACAGTGATAACAGTGATAGTTTTTAACTCTGTGGTCATTGTATCACTCTAAAATTTGGAGTAGCTATAATAAATCTACTCCTTTATTACGCTTTACAGTGTAGGTCTTTGTTTTTCCTTTTTTCTCTTTTTAAACAGCATATTGAACCAAGTTCACCAGTCCCTTTACAAAAGAATGAACTGCTTCTCTGTGTGCGTTTAGCCTTTCATAGAAGTTGGACCTGGGCAGAGGCAGGTTAGAAGCAGACATTTCTAAAATACAGGAGCAGACAGAATGGTCTGTTACGGTTTCCTGACGTCCATCTCTAGCTCAGCCAGTGAACCATGGGATGTGCCATTGAGCCCACTTGATTGTTAACGCTGGTGTATAACTTGGTGTGTGGAGAGAAAGAGTGTGTAGAGAACAGCATTTGTCAGTGGGGGAGAAATTGGAATATTTGAAATAAAGTGGGTACAAAAAATATTATTGGCCTTTTTAATGTAAATTAACATCACATTATTTCTAATTTAAAATTAGGATGTGTTGTTTGATTTTTTCACTAAGTTCTCTTGCAGTTGGAAACCACAGGTATTTGGGTTGGTCACGCCTCGTTTACATTTTCCCAAACCCTGGTCTAGGTCTTAAAAGAGTAGTCAACGTGATTCCAGCCTTGCATGTTCTGTTGCCTTACTGGTGTGCTGGTTAATGTTTCTTTCATTGATGTTGTTCCCTGATGCCATTTGAACTTGATTTTTCTGTTGCCTGAGAAATCTCTGTGTCTTGTCCTCCTCCGTGTCTCCTTCACTGGTGAAAATACACCTATGTGACCCTCTCTAGTGGGTGAACATGGGACAGAGAGCCCTAGCTTCTAAATTTGGGTGCAGTCCCTTCACTGGCTGCCCCTGTGGCCTCAGGCAGGTTCGCTTGACCTCTGTCTGCCTCAGTTTCTCTACTACAAAGGACATATTGACCTACCTCACAGGGGTGTTGTGAGGATTAATAAACATTGGTACAGTGCTTTGGAAATGTGATGATGCTGTGTAAATGCTAAGAAGTAGTAAGTACACGGGCGCCTGGGGGGCTCAGTCGGTTGAGCGTCTGCGTTTGGCTCAGGTCGTGGTTCTGGGGTCCTGGAATCAAGCCTCACATCCGGACTCCCTGCTCATTGGGGAACATGCTTCTCCCTCTCCCCGCCCCCTGCTTGTGCTCTCTCCCTCACTGTCTCTCTCAAGTAAATGAATAAAATATTTTTTTAAAAATTGAAAGAAATAGCAAGTGCAGGGCATAAAGCTGTATTGTTCCACGTAGCCATCAGCTAATCTGTACCAAGGAGGTCTTTTGCGGAAAAGGAGTAGGAGAGTGCCCCCATCCCTTGGTGCCTGGTTTACATTTTTACATTTTCACAATGTGTGTTGGGGCAGGGGTAGACTGGAAGCAGCAGTTACATATTAGAGCATATGTGGGAGGGTGCTTAATGAACACATGTAAGTGAGTTGACTGCTCTATGCAAGGGCCTTCTCACAAAGCACAAGATAAAGAACATATGTTACTCCCTCAAGGACATACTTTAGGAGAGGTTCTACTTTGTACCTCCAGAACAATTGAAACATTCCATAGTTCACTGCTAGTTCCTGATAATTGCCCTGGTTTCACTGCTCTTGTGCTGTGGCATTCATTAAACATTTATTGGCTGTTGTCGTATGCCTGGGGGACACAAAGGACAAACAGGAGGACGCCCAGGAACACAGACAAAGCCCTACACGGGTAGTACAGTGTCTGCCACAGGGGACACTTTATGCTCTGAGAGGAAGAGAGCAATCTAGGCAGTGGGAATGACCCAGGGTGTGAACGGGGTGGGCAGGGGAATGAAGGTTGTGGGTTTTTTGCAGTGAGGGTGAGATGGCAAGAGAGGAAATTGCAAAGGAAAGTGGGTCATGGCAATTGCACTACTGGGTATTTGTCCCAAAGATACAAATGTAGTGATCCGAAGGGGCACCTGCACCCTGTTTATAGCAGCAATGCCCATAATAAACTATGGAAAGATCTAGGTGTCAAGTGGATAAAGATGATGTGGTATGTACACACACACAGGAATATTACACAAATAAAAAAATGAAATCTTGGGGCTCCTGCGTGGCTCAGTGGGTTAAAGCCTCTGCCTTTGACTCAGGTCATGATCCCAGGGTCCTGGCATTGAACCCCACATGGGGCTCTCTGCTAGCAGGGAGCCTGCTTCCTCCTCTCTCTCACTCTCTGCCTACTTGTGATATCTGTCAAATAAAATCTTTAATAAATAAATAAATGAAATCTTGCTATTTGCAACATGGGCAGAACTAGAGGGTGTTATGCTAAGTGAAATAAGTCAATCAGAGAAAGACAATTATATGATGTCACTGATACATGGAATTTAAGAAACAAAACAGGATCATAGAGGAAGAGAGGAAAAAATAAGATGAAACCAGAGAGACAAAAAGAGAATCATAGGAAGCAAATTGAGGGTTGCTGGAAAGGAGGGTGGCGGGATGGGGTAACTGGAGGTTGGACATAGGAGGGCATGTGATGTAATGAGCGCTGGCTATTACATATGACTGATGAAGCACAGACTTGTACCTCTGAAACCAATAATGCATTATATGTTAGTTGAATTAAAATTTTGAAAGGAAGAAAAAGAGGGTCAGGCCCAATAAGGCTTATAGACTGGGCTAGATGTCTGCACCTGGTTTGGAAAAGCTTATACAATATTAACGTTCTGTAGCAAAACTATAGAAGTTGAGCTCAAGCTGATATTTTTGGAGAGAGGCACTACAGGTTAAACAGTTTAAAGTATTAGTAAGACAAGTCTGGCTGGTTTAAGAGGAAAACTGCTTTAGCGGAATTAGAGTGGTTCAAGGCCTTATGAAAAACACCAAGCAGGGGCGCCTGGGTGGCTTAGTGGGTTAAAGCCAATGCCTTTAGCTCAGGTCATGATCCCAGGATCCTGGGATCGAGCCCGGTATCGTATCGGGCTCTCTGCTCAGCAGGGAGCCTGCTTCCCCCTCTCTGTCTGCCTCTCTGCCTACTTGTAATCTCTCTGTCAAATAAATAGAATCCTTAAAAAAAAAAAAAAAAAAAACACCAAGCAACACTTAAATTGCACACCACCTCTGTATGGAACTACCTGAAACAGATGGTACACCTACCTCAACTCCACAAAACGGATTTCAATACTACGACATATCTTCGGTTGTATAAACAACTTAAAACTTTGTTTCAGACTTTCCAATCAAAACCACGATCTTTGAAAGCATTTATAAACTCCAAGTTCAGAACTCCTACTCACACTTCAAAGTAAAGCCAAAACCCAAAAGCACAAGCATGTTTGCTTTTTGCTTTGAAGACTCTGTTGATACATTTCACAGAAACATACACACACAAAAAAAACAAAAAAAAGACAAGAAAAAAAAGCTTTTCGCCTGACGCATAACCTCAAGCAAAAAACTTTGTGCTACCTAGACCCCAACTTTGGGGCGTAAATGTGAAAAAAAAAAATTCAAAAACAAAGCTGGTATTATCTTTCATTACACCACTAAAAGATCAGGGGAAAGCGCGAACGCAGTCCCCCACTACCACAAATTATGCAGTCGAGTTTCCCACATTTGGGGAAATCGCAGGAGTCAGCACATCCGGAGTGCAATGGATAAGCCTCGCCCTGGGAAAACCACCTTCGTGATCATGGTATCTCCCCTGCCAGGTAAGTATGAGTCGCTCTCCCCCTCCCCACACACACCCTCGCGCCCCACCCGCTCCTTACACACGGTCACTTCCCTCCCGCCGCCCCCGCGACACCCGCCCCCCGCACCACCGCCGCCGCCCCCTCGCCCACCCGCGCAACCACGGCGGGCGCCTTCGTCCGGCCCCACGCGGGACCCGCGGGCTCGGGCGGGGCGGGCCCGGCAGCCTCTGCGCGCCTGCTCCTCTGCATACGCCACGCCCTTGTCGTGACGTCCCCGAGCCCTGTCGCCCGCTCTGGGACAGCGGATGTCCTCGTCCCCGCCGAGGCCGCGGATGCCTGCGGGGCGGACGCTGAGGGTGTCCGCACCTGGAGGGGAGACCCGAGAACGCGGGGTCTCCCGGAGCCCAGCGGGAATGGTGGTGGCTCAAGACTCGGGTTTGGTCTCGCCTTCCTTTCCGCGAAAAGAAAATTTCAGCCCCTTTTTGTCCTCGCCTGTTCGAGACTCATTTTCAAACCGAGTCGAAAACTCAGGAGAGGCCTTTCTGACGGTCGGCGTTAAGGGCTAAGCCGCCCCAGTAAGATGCGGCAGTGGCAGTGTTTCTTTCTGGGGTCTTCCCAAGTTTCACTCGGCGTCCGAACATGCAGTCGCCCGATCCAGGAACGCGGGAGGGAAGGAAAAGCGTCCTGCTGAGTTTTGAAGAAAGCACATGAAGCAACGCGCTCCGCGGTGCCCTTCCGCCGCAGCTTGTCCGGTGTCCCCCCGGGAGCCCCGGCGGTCCCGCCCCGCAGCCCGCGCACAGGCTGGTCCCGCCCAGTGCCCTCTGGTCCTTTCCCACTCGGACTCTGTCAAAGATGAACGCAGCAGACGACAGCTACAGTGGTGAAAAAAGATTTTCCTCAGGAACTGCTGACAGGAGGGGAAAGAGCTGAGCTCCACCCGCATCTGTGCGCAGCATGAGACGAAGGGGGCCCGGGACCGTTGGAGAAGTGAAAAGTGACACCCGGTCGTTCAGTAGGGCCGCTGTAGGGCAGCTGTGTGTGTTAGCTGACAGCTGAACTGACAGGTTATGGGGCTACCGTCCCACAGAGACTGGGACATAGGCCCCAGCCTTCACCATTACAGCTCAAAGGAATGGCTCTCGGGCCTTGAGAAGGATCCTTTGGAGTCCTAACAGACCCATGGTCACAACTGCAAGCGCTTTTTAATGAATGCCCAAAGAGGGACGCTTGGGTGGCTCAGTCGGTTGGGTGTCTGCTCTGGCTCAGGTCATGATCCCAGGCTCCTGGGATGGTGGGGTCCAGCATCGGGATGCTTGCTTGGCGGGGAGGCTGCTTCTCCCTCTGCCTGCTGCTCCCCCTGCTTGTGCTCGCTCACTCTCTTAAATAAATGAAGTGTTAAAAACAAAAAATATATATAGGGGCACCTGGGTGGCTCAGTGGGTTAAAGCCTCTGCCTTCGGCTCAGGTCATGATCCCAGGGTCCTGGGATCGAGCCCCACATCGGGCTCTCTGCTTAGCGGGGAGCCTGCTTCCTCCTCTCTCTCTCTCTCTGCCTGCTTCTCTGCCTACTTGTGATCTCTGTCTGTCAAATAAATAAATAAAATCTTTAAAATATATATATAATATATATATATATATAATATATATATATATATATAGAGAGAGAGAGAGAGAGAGAGAGAGAGGTTGGGGGCCTGTGTGTCAGGTGTCTACCTTTCTCAGGTGGGAGGTCACTCAGGGACAGAACCTTATGCTGCTAGAAGCTATGCTAGAGCCTGGTCAGATCTCAGGAAAGAAAACAGTTTGGAGGGATTGTTATGGGAAGAGAGGAGAGTTCTACAGTTCTCAACTGAAGAGACCCTGTTCTGTGATCAAACAAGGTAACTCTGCACCTCCCCCTGGCTGAACCCTGGCTCCTGGCCCCTCCTTGTGCAGTCTCATTGCCTCTTCGAGGACGAGGACGAGGACGTGGAGAGTTTGTCCGTTCAACAACCCTTGGCTGAGTATATATGCATACTTTGGGAATGGGTGACAAAAGACAAAAAGGCCTCTGGGCACTCCTCTATTGTAGGAGGGACAGGGGGAGTGGGAGAATACTGACAATGGACACAATAGGTACTTAAGTACTCTGGTAGGTGTTAGGAGCTGAGAAAAGAAAGCATTGAGGAGAGAGAGGGGATCTGGAGTGGAGTTAGGGCCACAGGCAGTGAGGTGGATTGGGTGGTCAGAAGAGGCTACGTTGAGCAGGTGCTCTGTGAGCAAAGGCTGGGAGGAGGTGAGGGAGTGGGTCATGGGCTATCTGGGGAAAAGCTAG